TAGATTTTTTATTTGTGGGCCCGCTATCAAATTGGTTCATATTGAGGTCAAAAGGGTTCAAAATTAAACTTTGTTTGATTTCATCAAAAATTTAATTCTTGGGGTTCTTTGATATGCCAAATCTAACCGTGTAAATAGATTTTTAATTTTGGGTCCCGTTTTTTAAATTGGTCTACATTAAGGTCCAAAGGGTCCAAAATTAAACTTAGTTTGATTTTAACAAAAATTGAATTTTTGGGGTTCTTTGATATGCTGAATCTAAACATGTGTTTAGATTTTTGATTATGGGACCAGTTTTCAAGTTGTTCCAAGTTGGGGTCCAAAATTAAACTTTGTTTGATTTCAACAAAAATTGAATATATGGGGTTCTTTGATATGCTGAATCTAAACATGTATTTAGATTTTAGATTTTTGGCCCTGTTTTCAAGTTGGTCCAAATTGGGGTCCAAAATTAAACTTTGTTTGATTTCAACAAAAATTGAACATATGGGGTTCTTTGATATGCTGAATCTTACCATGTATTTAGATTTTTTATTTTGTAGGCCCGCTATCAAATTGGTTCATATTGTGGTCAAAAGGGTCCAAAATTAAACTTTGTTTGATTTCATCAAAAATTGAATTATTGGGGTTCTTTGATATGCCAAATCTAACCGTGTTTTTAGATTTTTAATTTTGGGTCCCGTTTTTGAAATTGGTCTACATTAAGGTCCAAAGGGTCCAAAATTAAACTTAGTTTGATTTTAACAAAAATTGAATTCTTGGGGTACTTTGATATGCTGAATCTAAACATGTGTTTAGATTTTTGATTATGGGACCAGTTTTCAAGTTTGTCCAAGTTGGGGTCCAAAATTAAACTTTGTTTGATTTCAACAAAAATTGAATATATGGGGTTCTTTGATATGCTGAATCTAACCATGTATTTTGATTTTGGACATTGGACCATAATAGGTAAATTAAAAAAATTGAAGTTCTTAGACCACATTCTTTCTGTGTCAGAAACCTATGCTGTGTCAAATATTTAATCACAATCCAAATTCAGAGCTGTATCAAGCTTGAATGGTGTGTCCATACTTGCCCCAACTGTTCAGGGTTCGACCTCTGCGGTCGTATCAAGCTGCGCCCAGCGAAGCATTTTATTTAAATTGGTCTACATTAAGGTCCAAAGGGTCCAAAATTAAACTTAGTTTGATTTTAACAAAAATTGAATTCTTGGGGTACTTTGATATGCTGAATCTAAACATGTGTTTAGATTTTTGATTATGGGACCAGTTTTCAAGTTTGTCCAAGTTGGGGTCCAATATTAAACTTTGTTTGATTTCAACAAAAATTGAATATATGGGGTTCTTTGATATGCTGAATCTAACCATGTATTTTGATTTTGGACATTGGACCATAATAGGTAAATTAAAAAAATTGAAGTTCTTAGACCACATTCTTTCTGTGTCAGAAACCTATGCTGTGTCAAATATTTAATCACAATCCAAATTCAGAGCTGTATCAAGCTTGAATGTTGTGTCCATACTTGCCCCAACTGTTCAGGGTTCGACCTCTGCGGTCGTATCAAGCTGCGCCCAGCGAAGCATTTTATTGGCTTATATCTCTGAAACTAAAGCATTTGGAGCAATTCTGACAATGGGTAAAAATGTTAAGCAGGTTAAGATCTATCTGCCCTGAAATTGTCAGACGAATCAGACAACCCGTTATTGGGTTGCTGCACCTGAATTGGTAATTTTAAGGAAATTTTGCAGTTTTTACACGCCTGTCAAAATTTAGACGGGACGTATTTTGTTATACAAATGTCTTGCGTCCGTCTGTTTGTCTGTCAGTCTGTCAGGCGTCCACATGTCGCACTGTAACTTGAGAACGACTTTTCCAAATTTCATGAAACTTAACATAGTTGTTTCTTATGATTGTCAACCGATCTGTATACTTTTTGGTGAAAATAAGATTAAAACTTTTTGAGTTACGGGACTTTGTAACTAAAACAGGGGGTGTTTTTTACATGTCGCGCCGTATCTCAAAAAACGATTTATGATTATTGCTTAAAACTTTACACACTTCTTAGTTATATTAATCTAAAGATCTGTATACTTTTTGGTGATGATTCAAAATTTCTATTTTAGAGTTATTGAGTTTTTTGTAAAAAAAGGGGGGGGGTTTACATGTCGCGCCGTATCTCAGAAACGATTTATGATTATTGCATAAAACCTCACACACAAGATGATGGGCGTATCATGTGCTGGTGGGGCAGCTGTTTTTTGGTTATTATCTTGAATATTATTATAGATAGAGATAAACTGTAAACAGCAATAATGTTCAGCAAAGTAAGCTCTACAAATAAGTCAACATGACAAAAATTGTCAATTGACCCTTTAAGGAGTTGTTGCCTTTTAACCCTTTCAACACTATACACGGTATATGCCGCAATGACGTACGCCACTGCTGTTCGCTGCATATGCTGCGATGACGATAGATTATTCATCCAGACTCATAAACCATTCGGTTTTCATTCAGCTCCTCTCTAATTTTTCCTTGTATGAATCGAGGATATGCAAGGTCCCGTTTGCGCTTGAAATCACAGGAATTTAAAGGAAAATAGAAGGAAAATAAAAACAAATATTTTGACAAATGCAAATGGTGGAAATTGAAAAAGACGCTGTTAATATGCAATTATTTCAGTATTTCTATAGAGAAACTGACGAGGAATAGTTAAAAGGTTCACCGTTATCTCAATGTGTTTATTACATTCAATTCGTGTGGGAAATATGATTTGATCGATCTTTACGAGACGTAGAAAAAGGGGGAAAATGGAAATTGACTGAAAATTTTGAGGACAGAGCTTCTTATTTGCACCACGTTTACGTTATACGTTGTGTATGGTGCAATATGCTACGGAATCAAGCAACTGGTGTCTTCTTTATTATATGGCAGATAGAACAACAAAATAAATGATTATAAGTTGTTTTTATTCAAAATTCAACACAAATACAATAATTTACACCTTTTACCTGTTAATTACCTGAAAATGCAGGTAGCCTGATGAAAATTTTACTAAAATAATTGCATAACATTACAGTTCATGCTCTCCTGAGCATTTTTCATGTACTAACTGTGTCTGTATTTCTAATGATAAAAAAGATACAGCAGTCTGAAAAGGAATATACTGTTCTAATGAATGAACCCAAAAAAAATTCAGCAGCAGCAGCCATTTTTATACGACCGCAAAAAAATTTTGTGGTCGTATATTGGTATGACGTTGGCGTCGTCGTCGTCGTCGTCCGAATACAAATTGGTTTTCGCACTCTAACTTTAGTTTAAGTGAATGGATCTTTTTGAAATTTTACCATAAGGTTAAATACCACAAAAGGAAGGTTGGGATTGATTTTGGGGGTTATGGTACCAACAGTTAAGGAATTAGGGGCCAAAAAGGGGCCAAAAATAAGCATTTTCTAGTTTCCAGACAATAACTGTGGAACGGTGTATGGATCTCTCTGAAATTATACTACAAGTTTCCATACCACAAAGGGATGGTTAGGATTTGCTTTGGGGGGTTATGGCTCAAACCGTTTAGGAATTAGGGGCAAAAAAGGGGGAAAAACAAGGTTGTCCTGGTTAATGGACAAATACTTTAGTACAAAACATAATTTAAAGCAGTGAAAGGGAGATAAATCAAATACATCATTGAAATTATCTCCCTTACACTGCTTTTAAATTATGTATAAAGTAATGGTTAATGAACAATAAAGATAATTTAAAACAGTGTAAGGGAGGTAATCCAAATACAACGTTTTGGTTACTTCCCTTACACTGCTTTTAAATTATGTTTAAAGAAATGCATATTTATAAAGGAAGACCAGTAAAAATATCTGCAAATGTTGCATCTTTTTTTTTACAAAAAAATCCATATGAAAGATTTGACACTATATTTTTAATTCTATTATAAAATAGATTAAGTTAGCACTATGGTAAATTTAAATGGGTAATTATGGTTGCCAACTCCATTGGAAATTTGAATTGAGATTTTGACCATATCTTGAGGGAAAGAATTTTTTGGGGGAAAAAAAGGGGGGGGGGGATAAAAAGAAATTGTGGGGGGTCAATTTTTCTCATTTCAGATTTCAGAAATTAAAAAGAATTATTCTTCAAATATTATTTTTTTTTCAAATTTCAAATATTGAAAAATTTCAAGAAGTAATCTTTAATTGCACAGTATGGCGCATTAGATTTGTAAAATCTTTGATCACATTTATTTATTTGTTATGCCGAATCTAACAGTGTATTTAGATTTTTAATTTTGGGTCCAGTTTTCAAATTGGTCTACATTAAGGTCCAAAGGGTCCAAAATTAAACTTTGTTTGATTTTAGCAAAAATTGAATATATGAGGTTCTTTGATATGCTGAATCTCAACATGTATTTAGATTTTTGATTTTTGGCCCAGTTTTCAAGTTGGTCCAAATTGGGGTCCAAAATTAAACTTTGTTTGATTTCAACAAAAATTGAATATATGAGGTTCTTTGATATGCTGAATCTAACCATGTATTTAGATTTTTTATTTGTGGACCCCGTTATCAAATTGGTTCATATTGAGGTCAAAAGGGTCCAAAATTAAACTTTGTTTGATTTCATCTAAAATTGAATTATTAGGGTTCTTTGATATTCCAAATCTAACCGTGTATTTAGATTTTTAATTTTGGGTCCTGTTTTTTAAATTGGTCTACATTAAGGTCCAAAGGGTCCAAAATTAAACTTAGTTTGATTTTAACAAAAATTGAATTCTTGGGGTTCTTTGATATGCTGAATCTAAACATGTGTTTAGATTTTTGATTATGGGCCCAGTTTTCAAGTTGGTCCAAGATAGGGTCCAGTATTTAAACTTTGTTTGATTTCAACAAAAATTGAAATATGGGGTTCTTTGATATGCTGAATCTAAACATGTATTTAGATTTTTGATTATGGGCCCAGTTTTCAAGTTGGTCCAAATTGGGGTCCAAAATTAAACTTTGTTTGATTTCATCAAAAATTGAATTATTGGGGTTCTTTGATATGCCAAATCTAACCGTGTTTTTAGATTTTTAATTTGGGTCCCGTTTTTTTTAAATTGGTCTTCATTGAGGTCCAAAGGATCCAAAATTAAACTTAGTTTGATTTTAACAAAAATTGAATTCTTGGGGTTCTTTGATATGCTGAATCTAAACATGTGTTTAGATTTTTGATTATGGGCCCAGTTTTCAAGTTGGTCCAAGTTGGGGTCCAAAATTAAACTTTTTTTGATTTCAACAAAAATTGAATATATGGGGTTCTTTGATATGCTGAATCTAACCATGAATTTAGATTTTTTATTTGTGGGCCCCGCTATCAAATTGGTTCATATTGAGGTCAAAAGGGTCCAAAATTAAACTTTGTTTGATTTCATCAAAAATTGAATTATTGGGGTTCTTTGATATTCCAAATCTAACCGTGTATTTAGATTTTTAATTTTAAGTCTGGTTTTTTAAATTGGTCTACATTAAGGTCCAAAGGGTCCAAAATTAAACATAGTTTGATTTTAGCAAAAATTGAATTCTTGGGGTTCTTTGATATGCTGAATCTAAACATGTGTTTAGATTTTTGAATATGGGCCAAGTTTTCAAGTTTGTCCAAGTTGGGGTCCAAAATTAAACTTTGTTTGATTTTAACAAAAATTGAATATATGGGGTTCTTTGATATGCTGAATCTAACCATGTATTTTGATTTTGGACATTGGACCATAATAGGTAAATTAAAAAAATTGAAGTTCTTAGACCACATTCTTTCTGTGTCAGAAACCTATGCTGTGTCAAATATTTAATAACAATCCAAATTCAGAGCTGTATCAAGCTTGAATGTTGTGTCCATACTTGCCCCAACTGTTCAGGGTTCGACCTTTACGGTCGTATCAAGCTGCGCCCCAGCGAAGCATTTTATTATATTTTTGCGGTCGTATATTGGTATGAAGTTGGCGTCGTCGTCGTCGTCGTCGTCCGAAGACACATTGGTTTTCGCACTCTAACTTTAGTTTAAGTGAATGGATCTCTTTGAAATTTGACCATAAGGTTCAATACCACAAAAGGAAGGTGGGGATTGATTTTGGGGGTTATGGTACCAACAGTTAAGGAATTAGGGACCAAAATGGGGCCAAAAATAAGCATTTTCTAGTTTCCAGACAATAACTGTGGAACGGTGTATGGATCTCTCTGAAATTATACTACAAGTTTCCATACCACAAAGGGATGGTTAGGATTTGCTTTGGGGGGTTATGGCTCAAACCGTTTAGGAATTAGGGGCAAAAAAGGGGGAAAAACAAGGTTGTTCTGGTTAATGGACAAATACTTTAGTACAAAACATAATTTAAAGCAGTGTAAGGGAGATAAATCAAATACATCATTGAAATTATCTCCCTTACACTGCTTTTAAATTATGTATAAAGTAATGGTTAATGAACAATTAAGATAATTTAAAACAGTGTAAGGGAGGTAATCCAAATACAACGTTTTGGTTAATTCCCTTACACTGCTTTTAAATTATGTTTAAAGAAATGCATATTTATAAAGGAAGACCAGTAAAAATATCTGCAAATGTTGCATCTTTTTTTTTTACAAAAAAATCCATATGAAAGATTTGACACTATATTTTAAATTCTATTATAAAATAGATTAAGTTAGCACTATGGTAAATTTAAATGGGTAATTATGGTTGCAAACTCCATTGGAAATTTGAGTTGAGATTATGACCATATTTTGAGGGAACGAATTGAATTTTTTGTGGGAAAAAAAAAGGGAGGGGGGGGGGGGGGGGGGGGTAAAAAGAATTGTGGGGGGTCAATTTTTTCTCATTTCAGACTTCAGAAATTAAAAAGAATTATTCTTCAAATATTATTTTTTTTTTCAAATTTCAAATATTGAAAAATTTCAAGAAGTAATCTTTAATTGCACAGTATGGCGCATTAGATTTGTAAAATCTTTGACCACATTTATTTATTTGTTATGTCGAATCTAACCGTGTATTTAGATTTTTAATTTTGGGTCCAGTTTCCAAATTGGTCTACATTAAGGTCCAAAGGGTCCAAAATTAAACTTTGTTTGATTTTAACAAAAATTGAATATATGGGGTTCTTTGATATGCTGAATCTAAACATGTATTTAGATTTTTGATTTTTGGCCCAGTTTTCAAGTTTGTCCAAATAGGGGTCCAAAATTAAACTTAGTTTGATTTCAACAAAAATTGAATATATGGGGTTCTTTGATATGCTGAATCTAACCATGTATTTAGATTTTTTATGTGTGGTCCCCGCTATCAAATTGGTTCATATTGAGGTCAAAAGGGTCCAAAATTAAACTTTGTTTGATTTCATCAAAAATTGAATTATTGGGGTTCTTTGATATTCCAAATCTAACCGTGTATTTAGATTTTTAATTTTGGGTCCTGATTTTTAAATTGGTCTACATTAAGGTCCAAAGGGTCCAAAATTAAACTTAGTTTGATTTTAACAAAAATTGAATTCTTGGGGTTCTTTGATATGCTGAATCTAAACATGTGTTTAGATTTTTGATTATGGGCCCAGTTTTCAAGTTTGTCCAAGTTGGGGTCCAAAATTAAACTTTGTTTGATTTCAACAAAAATTGAATATATGGGGTTCTTTGATATGCTGAATCTAACCATGTATTTTGATTTTGGACATTGGACCATAATAGGTAAATTAAAAAAATTGAAGTTCTTAGACCACATTCTTTCTGTGTCAGAAACCTATGCTGTGTCAAATATTTAATAACAATCCAAATTCAGAGCTGTATCAAGCTTGAATGTTGTGTCCATACTTGCCCCAACTGTTCAGGGTTCGACCTCTGCGGTCGTATCAAGCTGCGCCCAGCGAAGCATTTTATTCTATTTTTTTGTGTAGCGTTGAAATTGTTAAAGTCAATTTTTAACAATTTTTCGTAAATTTTTGTAATCTTTTACAAAAATCTTCTCCTCTGAAACTGATGAGACAAATTTAACCAAACTTATCCACAATCATCATTAGGGTATCTAGTTTGAAAAATGTGTCCGATGACCCCATCTGCCAACCAAGATGGCCGCCATGGCTAAAAATAGAACATAGGGGTAAAATGCAGTTTTTGGCTTATATCTCTGAAACTAAAGCAAAAGTATAACAGTTGCATTATTTCATGCATCAATTGTAAACAAAAATATCAGGTGAGCGACACAGGCTCCTTGGAGCCTCTAGTTTTTATGTTATCGTTGATAAAGTTTATGTGATACCTGCACTTAAAGAATTGCAACTTATTCAGTCAAAATCAGTAAATCAGGCAAGACATTTCAGTGTGTGCGCTCTTGTATGTTAATGTTTGTGATTAATTATAATTTCCAACGGTTTGATAGTATAGTGGGAAATTACTGTAATAACGGTACGTGTGAATACTATTGATATGGGTACTTCGTATGTACACGTATATATACATATCACATGATATTGATATTTAGTGGGAATATTTTCCCTTGTTGGTCACTTGTAGCCAAGCATCAGACTAGACAACAGTGAAATAAAGTTCATTTTCAATTGTATTGTTATTCTAATTTGTATTTAGTAGGAATAAGATATTTTACTAAAGAGTAACTTAAGTTATTACTTATTACATATACAGTCGAACCTCTTTGTGTCGAACTCGGTTGTGTCGTAATTTCTCGTTCCCGGTAAAATTCCTGTTTGATCAATGCATAATTACCTCTGATGAGTCGAACTCGATTGATTCGAATACTCGGTTAAGTCGAGTAAATTTTATAGTCCCGTCGATGTAAAATTCATGTAAATTGACCCCGATGACTCGAAGTTCGAAAGTAAGAATTTTCAAAAGATGCAGACCTAATGATAAAAATTCAAATCGGATGTATCTCTTGTGTAACCTAATCATTTTCCAAAGAGATTAAAGCTGAGTAAACATACTTGTTTGTATAACAGTTAAAATGACATGTTTATGGTGACCGGTAATTAACACCTTTGGTTGATCGTTCAAGCGGAATGTTAGTGTGTTGAACATTTTTCACATCAGATAAAAACAAAACGAATTTAAATGACCCAAGCCGAGATTAAATGAATTGTTAGATTTAAAACTCATTAATTACAATAAATAAAAGAATTAGGACAATTATGATAAATTCATGATAATTTAATGTAAAGCAGACGACCTCTGGCTCATCAGAGATCGTTCATAACTTTATTCGTTCTGCGAGTGATTTCATAATTTATAGTGACTGACCTTTGTAAATATTTGTGTAGACTATTGATTTTATTTGTGCATGATTTGTATCTGTACTTGTGTGTTTAATTATTATGAAGGACCAACAATGGAGATTGAATACACAATCATAAAGTGTCATATCGAAAAAAAGGCACACTGTTCATTTTATCTAGTTTACACAAATCATATCGTATTTCATGCATTCCAAATTTATGACGACACACTCGACCTCGGATGAGTCGAACCTCGGATGTGTCGAACACTTTGGTCCGGTCCCTTTGACTTCGACACAACGAGGTTCGACTGTAGATAGTAGATTTACTTTATATACAGTCCAAGTATAACTCTCAAGACGGTCTTCCGACTATTTGGGTTTGGACACAGGTTTCCCACATTTTCCACTTTATTTAAAATGTAGTCTTTTGACTGCAGTTTAAATGGAGTTTGACCGAGGTGACTTGTTTTTGTTGGTTTTTCCTGGCCGGCGGGATCGTTGATGACAGAGCAAAATTTTTTGAACACAATTTACTAATTATTCTATTGAACTCTTTAATGAAAGTGAATTTATTGTGCATTGATACTTATGCTTTATGTATATTGTGTTTATCAATTATATTTAAATTAATAAAATATGGGGTCCACCAGTATTGCTGGGCTATCGGCTATATATAGTATTTAGTATTTATTGAGATGCCTAGAAATAGTTATTAATAAAGTTGATACATCAGTTTAGGGGGAGACACATATTATAATCAATGATATTTGGTATGCAGTTGTATGAGCCTTGGCATATCTCAATTCCACAGAGATTCTTTGGTCTTGACCTAAGTCATGGTTCATTGACTTTGGAAGTTGTGCATAGGTTACATGTAAAAGTGTTGTCATTTTAATTTCAATATTTTCATTATGCTATTAACATTACATACAGGAAAGACATACCTCTATGTCTATAGTTTATATTTTATATTTACTGATATTTAGTTTAATAAATGCTCATGAAGTTTTATCACAAACTTTCAGAAGAAAAGCACAATTCCATGGTAGTGATACTACATCATCATCATCCTGTAGTGAATCAGATGATGAGGAAAGGTTTAAAAGAAGAAAAGCGAAAAGTATGGCAAGAGCTAGAAATAGATGTTTACCAATGAATATTAGTCCTAAGAATTTGAAAAACTCCAACATTCTCAAAGATAGAGTAAAGATAGGCTCCAGTTTGGCTGATGTTGATCCCATGAATGTTGACAGAACCGTGAGTATATGTGTATATTGTCAACGTTCTCTATATTTACTTGGCAACATGCATAGACTTTTTTTTTATATTCTCCCTTCACAAAAGTTAGGGAGGGGGAAGGAAGGAATGTCTTTAATTTTGTTAATTTTCAATTAAATTGCTAGGAATTTTTAAGTAATATTTAAAAATCAAAAATGAAACAGAAAATTGAAAGAAAATATTATATATTGTTGCCTATCATAATTGATTAAATTGTTGAGTCATGTGACATTTTGTCAAATATGTAAATTTAATGTTATGAATTATAGAACCATCTAGACAGTATATCTGTGATCAGATAACTTGATCAATCATTTTTAGCTCACCTGGCCCAAAGGGCCAAGTGAGCTTTTCTCATCACTTGGTGTCCGTCGTCCGTCGTCGTCGTCCGTTAACTTTTACAAAAATCTTCTCCTCTGAAACTACTAGGCCAAATTTAACCAAACTTGGCCACAATCATCATTAGGGTATCTAGTTTAAAAAATGTGTCAGATGACCCCGCCCGCGAACCAAGATGGCCGACATGGCTAAAAAATAGTACATAGGGTAAAATGCAGTTTTTGGCTCATATCTCTGAATCTAAAGCATTTAGAGCAAATCTGATTGTTCATTAGGTCAAGATCTATCTGCCCTGAAATTTTCAGACCAATCAGGCAACACGTTGTTGGGTTGCTGCCCCTGAATTGGTAATTTTAAGAAAATTTTGCAGCTTTTGGTTATTATCTTGAATATTATTATAGATAGAGATAAACTGTAAACAGCAATAATGTACAGCAAAGTTAGATCTACAAATAAGGCAACATGACCAAAATTGTCAATTGACCCCTTAAGGAGTTATTGCCCTTTATAGTAAATTTTTTACAATTTTCATAAATTTTCATTATTTTGTAAATTTTTGTAAATTTTTACAAAGTATTTTCCACTGTAACTACCGGGCCAAGTTCATTATAGATAGAGATAATAGTAAGGAGCAAGAATGTTCAGTAAAGTAAGATCTACAAACACATCACCATCACCAAAACACAATTTTGTCATGAATCCATCTGTGTCCTTTGTTTAATATGCACATAGACCAAGGTGAGCAACACAGGCTCTTTAGAGCCTCTAGTTAATTATACACATGAACTTTTTAAACAATATCGATTGATGCCATTGAGGCCATTCATAACAAATTTTTAGTATGTATTTTGTTATGAAGTTACCTGAGGAATTTATGTTTTATGGTCAATTTTTTGTGTGCATATTTATGCTCATTGATGCGGAAAGGTTCTTCTCTTACAAATTTTTCAGAATCATTTTGAGTTTCATTTGTGGATATTATAATGTTATATGAAGTGTATTTTATTTAGATTAACAATAGAAAGCTACAGCATTGAAATGGACAAATGTAGTAGTTTCCCTATATCAGTGTCTCACTTAATGCAATACAGTTTTGCAGACAGAACCATACTCAAATAGTAGATGATAAGATTGTTGCAGTATATTCTTATTGCAATATCATTATGCAGGCTTTTCTGCCACATTTCGCAATATTATAACACTTGTCATATATTGGAACTTATTGATGACAGAAGCTTCATTTGCCTCAAGTTTAATATCCTGCAGTAATTTCATATGATTTCTGCTTTTCCTTCGATCTGCTTTCAGGTTAACACAGCTAGATATGAGATGTCAGTATCAATTGATAGCATTGTCATCAAAACAATGCTTTAAATTTGAATGCCTTATTATCTGACACTGCTACTGTATCATGTAACCCTGTAAAGAGATTAAAGGTTGATGTACTTTCCATTCCTTCAGATACAGCTTCATCTTATAAAAGTAACAATGATTCTTTTGTTTACAGACGGTAGTGTATTTATGAATAAAAAAAAATTGTTATTACAACAATGCACTGGATTTCTTTGAGTGCATTTTAAGTCATTTCAGTACTCAGTTTATTCTAAAAGAATTAAGATTCTTGTTTTATTTTGAACATGTATTAACATACATTTTGTATTCTCGATATTAACAGGTTAATTTTAACAGCGTTGGTGGATTAGGGAAGCATGTGAGAGCATTGAAAGAAATGATTGTTTTTCCTCTCCTTTATCCAGAAGTTTTTGAAAGATTTAAGCTGGCACCACCAAGAGGAGTATTGTTTTATGGCCCTCCAGGTAACTAAAATAGTAAAAAAGTAATAACTTGCTTTGAATAATGTCATTAAAAAATGATTATCATGTACTTGATGTAGCAGGTTAAATAATAGAAGAGAGATTTCATATTGAATGATACCCCCAAGGGTGACTGGGGAATAGAAGTATGGTCACCATTGGTCTTCTTCCGACCGGCAGTAAAACCCTTGCTAAAGTGGGGCGTCCGTTTGGCTGTGCGGGATGTACAAATTTTCAGCCACGTCCGGTCAGAATGGGGACGTTAAATCTGATGCCTCGTGTAAAGAGAGTGCTACGCTCTTTGCACGTTAAGAACCCTTGCAACAACTCTTTGAGGGGTCCGTAGGTGACCTGTTGCAAGGCTGAATTTCTGTCCCTATCCAATATGCCCTCGTTTCCCGTGGCAGTCTAAATTTCTCCGACCTTAATCCCGGACGCCCCTGTTACAGAACCTGCCTATTGTATTTGTTGTTAGTTTGTTCTCGTCCTGAATATGCATGAAATATTTGCCACTGGACGATAAGCAACCAACAATCAATCAATCATATTGAATGATTGATATTAATTATTAAAGAAAGCATGAATTATATATATATATTACACAGAAGACCATTTGAAAGTTTAAGCTGTATTCAGAGGTAGAGAGGAACTGTAGTAATTTCTGAGTCATCCAGCCATTCATCTTCCCTATTGATCTACACAAGTTGAAATAACAAAGGAACACTATTTTGCAAAAAAAAAATTGTAGAAAATATCAAGTAGATGTTATGTAAATAGATCCATCTGAACCCAATATTAAAATTGGCAATTTTGAAACCCACAACCAATAATGTATACCGTAGAAAGGCTTGTATAGTTCGCAGTGGTACATAGTCCGCACCCCCTTCTCCCCACGAAATTTTAGGTAAAAAAACTTTTTGTAACTGTTAGAAAAGGTCTAATGAAACTCCGGTAATTTCAAATCCTGTGCGGTCGTTTGCGGTATTTTCTTGGAAAAACCTGTTTTCCATCATCAAGCAGAAGCTGAAACTGCTTGTTAATGATTCCAGAACGCTTCATGATTGTTAAAATAAGTTTAATTCACTTAAAAAACAATTTAGAAACTTGTGTATGTTTAAACAGGAAGTTTAAAAAGCACGTGTAAAAGAAGAAATTAACCGGTGAGAGTCGAAATCCGTACATAACAGATATCACTATAATACGACTTTGAAAGTAAAACAGTTCCATCCTTTTGTAAAACAGTCTTTAATATATCTATCACATTAATGTTTGAAGGGTCTTAAGCTAATACAAACCATATTAGTCAGTATGAAACACCAAAACGGAACGAACAATAACCGATTTCGTTTTGTAGTTTACAAATTCTAAGCTGGTTTACGGTTGTCTTTTTCACTATGTTTGTATCGTTTCAATCGAGCAGATACCAGTTTATTTCAACCAATGCATTGAAAAGAAACGAGAAATTTGTAATGAAAGGTTTAGTTTTTATATTTATCAGTATTAATTTGATATTGAATAGAAATAACTTATTAATATGGATGAGTTAAAATTATTAGTTTGAAAAATGATAAGAGCGCCCTCTACAATAGAAATAACAAAGATGGCGGAACGTAAACAAACCACCTCGACCGCGAAATTGAAATTTTTCTCTTATTTCTTGCTTATTGTACTCTATAGTCCGCACCCTGTCTGGAAGGTCCAATTTTGGAGAATAAAACCGTGGACTATACAAGCCTTTCTACGGTACTGACAACTCTGTACAAAATGTTAAAAAGGATAACAGGACCTGGATTTATACAAGAAATGAATTGCATTTTTAGTTTCTGATAATTGAAAATTGTAATGGATTTTAACATTTGGATTTGTTTTGTAATTGCAAAGGATGTCAAAATTAAGAAATGCTACTTTTTAGCTCACCTGACCTGAAAGGTCAAGTGAGCTTTTCTCATCACTTTGCGTCCATCGTCCGTCATCCTGCGTCCGTCGTCCGTAAACTTTAAAAAAAATCTTCTCCTCTGAAACTACTGGGCCAAATTTGACCAAACTTGGCCACAATCATCATTGGGGTATCTAGTTTAAAAAATGTGTCCGATGACCCCGCCAACCAACCAAGATGGCCGCCATGGCTAAAAATAGAACATAGGGGTAAAATGTAGATTTTGGCTTATATCTCTGAAACCAAAGCATTTAGAGCAAATCTGACATGGGGTAAAATTGTTTATCAGGTCAAGATCTATCTGCCCTGAAATTTTCAGACCAATCAGGCAACACATTGTTGGGTTGCTGCCCCTGAATTGGTAATTTTAAGAAAATTTTGCAGCTTTTGGTTATTATCTTGAATATTATTATAGATAGAGATAAACTGTAAAAAGCAATAATGTTCAGCAAAGTAAGATCTACAAATAAGTCATCTTGACCAAAATTGTCAGTTGACCCCTTAAGGAGTTATTGCCCTTTATAGTCAATTTTTAACCATTTTTCGTAAATTTTTGTAATCTTTTACAAAAATCTTCTCTGAAACTACTAAGACAAATTTAACCAAACTTGTCCACAATCATTATTAGGGTATCTTGTTTAAAAAATGTGTCTGATGACCCCGCCCGCGAACCAAGATGGCCGACATGGCTAAAAAATAGTACATAGGGTAAAATGCAGTTTTTGGCTCATATCTCTGAAACCAAAGCATTTAGAGCAAATCTGATGAGTTTAAAATTGTTCATTAGGTCAAGATCTATCTGCCCTGAAATTTTCAGACCAATCAGGCAAATCATTGTTGGGTTGCTGCCCCTGAATTGGTAATTTTAAGGAAATTTTGCCGTTTTTATACGACCGCAAAAAAATTTTTGTGGTCGTATATTGGTATGACGTTGGCGTCGTCGTCGTCGTCGTCGTCGTCGTCATCCGGCGTCGTCGTCCGAATACACATTAGTTTTCGCACTCTAACTTTAGTTTAAGTGAATGGATCTCATTGAAATTTTACCATAAGGTTCAATACCACAAAAGGAAGGTGGGGATTGATTTTGGGGGTTATGGTACTAACAGTTAAGGAATTAGGGGCCAAAAGGGGCCAAAAATAAACATTTTTGTAACTTCCAGACATAACTTGTGTGTAAGTGTATGGATCTCTCTGACATTGTACCACAAGGTTCCATATTACAAAGGGAATGCTGGGATTGATTTTGGGGGTAATTGTCTCCAAATTTTAGGAATTAGGGGCCAAAAAGGGGCAAAAAACAAGCATTTTTCTAGTTTCATGACAATAACTTGTTTATAAGTGTATGGATCTTTATGAAATTGTACTACAAGGTTCCATATCACAAAGGGAATACTGGGATTGATTTTTGGGGTAATTTCCTCCAAATATTAGGAATTAGGGGCCAAAAAGGGGCAAAAAACAAGCATTTTTCTAGTTTCATGACAATAACTTGTTTGTAAGTGTATGGATCTTTATGAAATTGTACTACAAGGTTCCATATCACAAAGGGAAGGCTGGGATTGATTTTGGGGGTTTTCCCTCAAAATTTTAGTAATTAGGGGCCATAAAAGGGCAAAAAAAACATGCATTTTTCTAGTTTCAGGACAATAACTTGTGTGTAAGTGTATGGATCTTTATGAAATTGTACTGCAAGGTTCCATATCACAAAGGGAAAGCTGGAATTGAGTTTGGGGGTAATTGCCTTAAACGTTTAGGAATTTGGGGCCAAAAAGGGGCCAAAAAACAAGCATTTTTCTAGTTTCCAGACAATAACTTGTGTTCAAGTGTATGAATCTCTCTGAAATTGTACTGCAAGGTACCATACCACAAAGGGAAAGCTGGGATTGAGTTTGGGGGTGATGAATCATAAGGGGGTTCAAAAAATTGGGGGGGGGGGGGGGATTTTTTTTTTCATTTTTTTTCTTTAACATTTTCCATTTTAAATTGGTTATTTCTGATTTATATATAAAAGCAAATAATAATGATATGGTTTGAATAGGCATACATGTGAACCTCCCGACGGGAGTACAATAATCCCGTTTTCAGGGGTCTCCTCCCCCACTCCCGTTGAAAAAATCCCGTGTATGAAATTTTTCATGAATGAAAAATTTCTGCCCAACATAACATCTCAGGCATCTGGTGTAACTGACATTACCTGAAGTTATATTTTACCTGTAAATCAATTAACATGCATAATTATATGGCTTCACTTGTCAGCTTGGGTGTCAAACATACTGGTAAGCAACGATTTTTACCTCAGGCTAACTGCCGTTGTGTAACAAAAACTGTGTATTTATTGGGTTACTTCCCTTGATTTATCCTGTTTTAAGTTACTTTCCTTTTAATAATGAAAATTTTTAAAAGAATATAAATAAAATATAAATTGAACAAATAATCATAAAAGGATGGTTATTAAATGATTTTAAATGTCTTAGGACAAATAAAAAAATAAATAATTTGAAAATTATTTGAGGATTCTATACTTCCTTTTAAAGCTTAAATTGAAATTTATATATTATCACTATGACCCTAACTTTACAGTTAGAATGAATTTCTGAGTTTGCAAATAAAAACTATTTGCAAGAGAAAAAAAAAAAAAATAAAAACTATTTGCAGACAGCTAAACAAATGTTCTGGTTGCAATGATTGTTTTATAGAATATGAAGTAAAAAATTTAAAGAACATACTGGAAAAAAACAATGTTAGATTGAACATGTAGAATATAAAGATGGAGAAACTTTATAAGTACAAGGGTACTATAAACATAATAAATTGGTTGGAAAGTTGAAGAAAACACACTTTAAAAGACCATTTTTACAGCACACGGTTACATTTACAACAAAATTAATGTCGATTAAAAACCTCCTGATCTGAGTCCTAATCTCCTGACCAAAATTTCCCAATCTCCTGATCTGAGTTTCACAGTCCATCACATGTATGAATAGGTAAATTGAAAATTTTTAAGTTCTTAGACCACTTTCATTCTGTGTCAGAAACCTATGCTGTGTCAAATATTTAATTACAATCCAAATTCAGTGCTGTATCAAGCTTGAATGTTGTGTCCATACTTGCCCCAACTGTTCAGGGTTCGACCTCTGCGGTCGTATCAAGCTGCGCCCCAGCGGAGCATTTTATTGGTTATTATCTTGAATATTATTATAGATAGAGATAAACTGTAAACAGCAATAATGTTCAGCAAAGTAAGATCTACAAATAAGTCAACTTGACCAAAATTGTCAGTTGACCCCTTAAGGAGTTATTGCCCTTTATAGTCAATTTTTAACCATTTTTCGTAAATTTTTGTAATCTTTTACAAAAATCTTCTCTGAAACTACTAAGACAAATTTAACCAAACTTGTCCACAATCATTATTAGGGTATCTTGTTTAAAAAATGTGTCTGATGACCCCGCCCGCGAACCAAGATGGCCGACATGGCTAAAAAATAGTACATAGGGTAAAATGCAGTTTTTGGCTCATATCTCTGAAACCAAAGCATTTAGAGCAAATCTGATGAGTATAAAATTGTTCATTAGGTCAAGATCTATCTGCCCTGAAATTTTCTTACCAATCAGGCAACCCGTTGTTGGGTTGCTGCCCCTGAATTGGTAATTTTAAGGAAATTTTGCCGTTTTTAGCTCACCTGACCTGAAAGGTCAAGTGAGCTTTTCTCATCACTTTGCGTCCGTCGTCCGTAAACTTTTACAAAAATCTTCTCCTCTGAAACTACTGGGCCAAATTTGACCAAACTTGGCCACAATCATCATTGGGGTATCTAGTTTAAAAAATGTGTCCAATGACCCCGCCAACCAACCAAGATGGCCGCCATGGCTAAAAATAGAACATAGGGGTAAAATGTAGATTTTGGCTTATATCATTGAAACCAAAGCATTTAGAGCAAATCTGACATGGGGTAAAATTGTTTATCAGGTCAAGATCTATCTGCACTGAAAATTTTCAGACCAATCAGGCAACACATTGTTGGGTTGCTGCCCCTGAATTGGTAATTTTAAGAACATTTTGCAGCTTTTGGTTATTATCTTGAATATTATTATAGATAGAGATAAACTGTAAACAGCAATAATGTTCAGCAAAGTAAGATCTACAAATAAATCAACTTGACCAAAATGGTCAGTTGACCCCTTAAGGAGTTATTGCCCTTTATAGTCAATTTTTAACCATTTTTCGTAAATTTTTGTAATCTTTTACAAAAATCTTCTCCTCTGAAACTACTAAGACAAATTTAACCAAACTTGTCCACAATCATCATTAGGGTATCTTGTTTAAAAAATGTGTCCGATGACCCCGCCCGCGAACCAAGATGGCCGACATGGCTAAAAAATAGTACATAGGGTAAAATGCAGTTTTTGGCTCATATCTCTGAAACCAAAGCATTAAGAGCAAATCTGATGAGTTTAAAATTGTTCATTAGGTCAAGATCTATCTGCCCTGAAATTTTCAGACCAATCAGGCAAACCATTGTTCGGTTGCTGCCCCTGAATTGGTAATTTTAAGGAAATTTTGCCGTTTTTGGTTATTATCTTGAATATTATTATAGATAGAGATAAACTGTAAACAGCAATAATGTTCAGCAAAGTAAGATCTACAAATAAGTCAACTTGACCAAAATGGTCAGTTGACCCCTTAAGGAGTTATTGCCCTTTATAGTCAATTTTTAACCATTTTTCGTAAATTTTTGTAATCTTTTACAAAAATCTTCTCCTCTGAAACTACTAAGACAAATTTAACCAAACTTGTCCACAATCATCATTAGGGTATCTTGTTTAAAAAATGTGTCCGATGACCCCTCCCGCGAAACCAAGATGGCCGACATGGCTAAAAAATAGTACATACACAACAGCCCGTGTGGATTTTGCTTTTTCCACCAGCCCACCGTGGGCAGTCCACCCGTGCCCACTCTAGCTATAATCTCTTTTTTGTAAAAATATTGATTACAAATGCTTATCTGCTTTTTTCAAGTGATTGTACTTGCAAGTCTTTAGATGAAACAAAAGAAATTGAATGCCCACTCCTACAGGTGGGCAGAGTGGACAAGGTACAAATTTTGCCCACCCGGTGCCCACTCCCATGGTGGGCCGGTGGACAAAGCAAAATCCACCCGAGCTGTAGTGTAGGGTAAAATGCAGTTTTTGGCTCATATCTCTGAAACCAAAGCATTTAGAGCAAATCTGACATGGGGGTAAAATTGTTCATTAGGTCAAGATCTATCTGCCCTGAAATTTTCAGACCAATCAGGCAACACATTGTTGGGTTGCTGCCCCTGAATTGGTAATTTTAAGAAAATTTTGCAGCTTTTGGTTATTATCTTGAATATTATTATAGATAGAGATAAACTGTAAACAGCAATAATGTACAGCAAAGTTAGATCTACAAATAAGGTTACATGACCAAAATTGTCAATTGACCCCTTAAGGAGTTATTGCCCTTTATAGTCAATTTTTTACAATTTTCATAAATTTTGTAAATTTTTACAAAGTATTTTCCACTGTAACTACCGGGCCAAGTTCATTATAGATAGAGATAATAGTAAGGAGCAAGAATGTTCAGTAAAGTAAGATCTACAAACACATCACCATCACCAAAACACATCACCATCACCAAAACACAATTTTGTCATGAATCCATCTGTGTCCTTTGTTTAATATGCACATAGACCAAGGTGAGCGACACAGGCTCTTTAGAGCCTCTAGTTTAGACTGAGGGTGATTAAGAATAATACAAGGGGTGGGTTGGGGTTCATCTGTTTGTCCTTCGGTCCATGTTGCTGTCCATGTTGCTGTCAATCCATCTGTCCATCCCATGAAATTTTTGTCACATTTTTCTCAAAACAAAACAAAAACATGCTGTTCCCTGTGATGTGTTTTCACTTCCATTACTCATCAACTTCCTGTTTACAAATGGGGGTATCATGTGTACAATAGCTTACAGTTCAATTTGCTTGATTCAGTACCTCTTTCTATTTGCAGGAACTGGAAAAACATTAGTTGCTAGGGCATTGGCAAATGAATGCAGTACAGGAAATAGACGAGTTGGATTTTTCATGAGGAAAGGAGCTGATTGCCTTAGTAAATGGGTTGGTGAATCAGAAAGGCAGCTTAGATTATTATTTGATCAGGCAAGTTATTTCTGTTTGTCGAAAGTATTTATCATTTCAAAGCCTGTGTAATGGAAAATGAATGAAATTGTAAACATTTTTAGATGACATCCAGAATAGATGTGGAGGGGGCATTAAGTGTTACCCTTGTCCATCAGTCCAGAAATTTGGTTAGCAAACTTTAGTTTGCCTCAACCTAATGTTATAAAACTTACACACAATGCCTATTACCACAAAAAACAGATCAAGTTCGAAATTGGGTGCCATCACTTTTACCGTTCTTGAGTTATGCCCCTTTATAAATGTCGTTTCCCTTCTCTAACTTTAGTTTGCCTCAACCAAATGTTATGAAACTTATGTTTATAATCACAAAACAGTCTTAACTATGTGAATCCTGCATTTGTATGTGGAATTTGACTCATGCATCTGTGGCCCATAGACACATTCTCCATTTATTTATCATTTAATCCTAATGATTTTGCTGGAAGGAAAAAATCATTTAATCCTAATGATTTTGCTGGAAGGAAGAGGACTAGTGTTGCTTCAAGTACAATGTTCTTAGTTTCTTATATTAATACAGTGATATTGTTTGCCTCAAATTACCTCCGAAATTTGGCTTTTTCCCCTAGAGAAAATTCCCAATTACTAAAAAATTGGCATAAATTCCTCTTAATAAGTTGTACATTTTTCCCAAACGGTGATGGCATCAGTAGTAGTGTACGATAATTTCGTATTCATGTTATTATTTTGATATTATGAAAGCGCATTTGAGATCCGGGTTTCTGATTAGAATCATCACGGTGTTTGTAACACGCATGGTTTTCAATGTATTAAGTACCGTCATTTTTTGCCTTTCTTTCCCCTCCCCAAAAAAGTCCTTTCCGTTGAAAATGTCTAACAATTCAAAATATTGCATGAAAAAACTGTGCAAAAAAGACAGCATTTAACTGACAACAACTTGAATGAACTTGTAAATATGTTCAAGGGATTAAAGGACAGAAAAATGACCTTTGAAAATTAAAATAATGAACTGTTGACTTGTCTTATTAACTATATTAAGTTCAGTCTTGTCTTCTAATTCAAGTTTTAGTACAATTAATTCTTATTCAAAACTTCCCAATTTCCAAAAAAATGATGCATTTTTCCCCTAAAAAAAGGGTAGAGGTACTTTTGAAAAAAGACAACAATATCACTGTAATATTTGTTCTCCGTGTATATTTTATGTCATAAAGAATTAACCACCTTATTTTGTTGATGTAGGCTTACCAGATGAGGCCATCAATTATTTTCTTTGACGAGATAGATGGTTTAGCACCTGTTAGGTCCAGCAGACAAGATCAGATTCATAGTTCTATTGTTTCAACATTGTTAGCTCTAATGGATGGCTTAGATAGCAGAGGAGAAATTGTAGTAATTGGGGCAACAAACAGAATAGATTCAATTGATCCAGCTTTGAGAAGGCCTGGAAGATTTGACAGAGAGTTTTTGTTTCCATTACCTTCACAAGAAGTATGTTTAAAACAGACAAGATAATAATATATTACATGACATACTCTTTACTAAATTCTTATATAAATCTTACATTTGGGTTACATTAAGTTTTTCTTCCAGTTACAGAACTGCATATAAAACGATTTTATTGTTCAAATATCACCAACTAACATACTACTTTCCTTAGTACAAGAACAGTGTTGATAATTAGTCCCCTACTGACGAAGTCGAAGGGGACTTTAGGTTTGCACTCGGTCCGTCTGTCAGTCCGGCAAATCAGTTTTCCACACTTTTTTTTTTGTGCTTGAAGATATTGATTTGATATTTGGTATATAGTTTTGTCATGACAAGTTTCAGATCAAGTTTGAATTTTGTTCCTATCTGATGAATTTGTGCAGAGTTATGGTCTTTGGACTTGGAAAATTCACTCAAATAATCAGTTTTCCAAACTTTTTTTCGTCATGCTTGAAGATATTGACTTTATATTTATGCCCCCGCCGTAGCGAAGTTGGTTTCCGTTCTCTAACTTTAGTTTGCCTCAACCAAATGTTATAAAACTTATACACAATGCTTATTACCACTAAATACAGATCAAGTTTGAATTTTGGTGGCGTTTACCGTTCTAGAGTTATGCTCCTTTACAAATGGAAAAATTGCTAAATTTGTTTCCGTTCTCTAACTTAAGTTTGCCTCAACCAAATGTTATGAAACTTATACACAATGCTTATTACCACAATATACAGATCAAGTTTGAATTTTGGTGCCGTCTCTTTTACTGTTCTAGAGTTATGCCCTTTTTTTTCCCTAAAGATCAAGTCATTTTTAAAATAGGAGTTATCTTCCTTTGTCCATGATTACAGTTGAATCAACTACAATCAATGCTTTATACAATGCAATGTTTAATTTTGCCTTCCACTGATAAATTAAAGCAATTTTAACCCTTCATTTCTAAAAATATTTTAAAGTCTTCTTTGAAAATTTGAGTTATCTTTCTTTGTGCATAATGGTAGTTGAATCAACTACAATCAATGCTTTATACAATGCAATATTTAATTTTACTTCCTACTGATAAATTAAAGCAATCTTTACCATTCAGTGCTTACAAGCACTTTGATTACAGTTCTAGGGTTATGCCCCTTTACAAATGAAAAAATTGCTGAATTTTTTGTTTCTGTTCTCTAACTTGAGTTTGTCTTAACTAAATGTAATTTCTAAAAATATCAATGTCATTATTCAAGTAATTTTTAAAATTGGAGTTATCTTCCTTTGTCCATGATTATAGTTGAATCAACTACAATCAATGCTTTATACAATGCAATGTTTAATTTTGCCTTCCACTGATAAAACACAGATCAAGTTGAATTTGGGTAGTGTCACTTTAACCATTATTGAGTTATGCCCCTTTATAATTCAAAAGATTGCAAAATTTTTAGTTTCCATTCTGTAACTTAAGTTTGCCCCAACCAAACATTATGAAACCTATACACAATATTCATTACCTCAAAACTAAGATAATGTTCATTTTTTTTGTTTCCGTTCTCTAACTTTAGTTTGCCTCAACCAAATGTTATGAAACTTATACACAATGCTTATTACTACATAATACAGATTAAGTAGGAAATTTGGTGGCGTCACTTTTACCATTCTTGAGTTACGTCCTTTTATAAACATAAAAATTGATGAAATTTTTCGTTTTCGTTCTCTAACTTTAGTTTGTCTCAACCAAATGTTATAAAACTTATACACAACCGTTCTAGAGTTATGCGTGTTTACAAATAGAAAAATTGCTGAATTTTTAGTTTCTGTTCTCTACTTAAGTTAGCCTCAACCAAATGTTATGAGACTTACACACAATGCTTATTACCACAAAACTCAGATCAAGTTCAAATTTGGGTAGCATCACTTTTACCGTTCTTCAGTTATGTCCCTTTATAACTATATGATATGCAAGCGGGGGCATCATCTGTGTCCACATGTGAACACAATCCACATTTATTTTTGATATATAGTTTACACCATGACAAGTTATAGATCAAGTTAGCATTTTGTTCCAGACTATGAATTTTTAACCGGTAGGGGACTATGTATTGCCATGCAATACTCTCAGAATGCTTGTTCAATTTAATGAACACCTCATTCACTGCAGGCCCACAAAAAGATTATATTTTATTAAGTATACATTATTATGTTTATATTCTTTAAAGAATATTATCTATGTGAAATGTTAGCCCCCACCCCCACCCAATAAAAAAAAATAAATCAAAAACAACACCTATAGACACATATTCTTGTGTATGATATATTTTTTGTAAATTTTAATTTTTGTAATGTGAAAATGACAGATATTTTACAAAAACTACTGGTTGTATGGTATTTATTATACCCCACGCAACGAGTTGCGGAGGGTATAATGTTTTTGACCCATCCGTCCGTCTGTCTGTCCGTCTGTCAGTCCGTCAGTCCTGTTTCTTGTCATCGCAACTCCTCTCAAACCACACAACAGAATTTAACGAAACCTTTTTGGATAATAAGGACATACTATATAGTTGTGCATATCGACAGGAAATTACGATTCAATTTTTTTTCTAGGAGTTACGCCCCTTTGAACTTATTTACTTTAATGTACTACTGCAACAGTTTGTCATCTCAACTCCTCTGAAACCACACAACAAAATTTCATAAAACTTTGTAGATAATAAGGACATACTACGTAGATGTGCATATCGACAGGAAATTATGATTCAATTTTTTTTCCAGGAGTTACGCCCCTTTGAACTTATTTGCCCAATATACTACTGCAACCTTTTGTCATCGCAACTCCTCTCAAACCACACAATAGAATTTCATGATACCTTTTTAGATAATAAGGACATACTACGTAGATGTGCATATCGACAGGAAATTACGATTCAATATTTTTTCTAGGAGTTACGCCCCTTTGAACTTATTTGCTTCAATATACCTCTGCAACAGTTTGTCATCGCAACTCCTCTGAACCCACACAACAGAATTTCATGAAACTTTGTAGATAATAAGGACATACTATGTAGATGTGCATATCGACAGGAAATTATGATTCAATTTTTTTTCTTATACAATTTTTTTTTCTTACAGTTATTTTATTTCTCCAGTGACAATGTGGGGACGTGGGGTATGTGTGCGCGCTCACTAAGGTTCTTTAATTTTAGTATGAATAATGTAACTACAAAATTGATATATTTAAAATTTTTCTAAAATTAGAAAATGTACATAAAAATTTATAAATGGATGAATCCATTCATTATGCAAGTTCATTACCATGCTACTGATGGATGTTTATGCAATAGTTATTTTATGCACTCAGTATATAATGTATGTTTATATGTAATAGGGAAGAATGATATTTATATAAATAAATAAATTTACAGGCAAGAAGACAAATCTTGCACATTCATACAAAAGAATGGAATCCAAAATTATCTGATCCTTTTGTGAGTGAACTGGCAGAAAAAACAGTCGGTGAGTTTAGTTTATTTCATTCATTCATTGCCAGATTTACAGATATGATTGTTGAAAATAGATTTTTGGTTCAGTGGTTGATTTTCGGTACTTTTGATAAACACTTTTGTATTTACAGTCAGTTGCTAATATATCCCAGGTAATGGTAGTTGTATGAGTATCAAAACCCCATTTATATATACAATACCTTTTATCAATACTTAATGCACAAATTTTTACCATATCTCAATATCAATGTTTTAAGTACTATATACAGGTAACTAGTTGTCTCAAACTCGGTTGACTCGAATATTCAGATGAGTTGAAGTTTTTCTGTGGTCCCAACTTTGTTCCATAGAAATATAAGTATTTCGACTCCTCATGAGTCGAAATTGGATGAGTCCAATTTCAATTGACTCAAACCAAATTTACCGGCCCATGGTTGACAAAAGCATTCAAATTGCATTATTTATCTCTTACTAATACACATGTCAAAACATGACCTCAGGGTTAAAATGGATTGAAGAGTTCATCTGACGATACACATGTAATTAAATTTCCTGTCACTGACCACTGTATTAATTTATGACATTCTTTTTCAACAAGTGTTTACATATTAAAGATTATCTTTGATCACCATGATGAATAATTAGTGATACATTGTTGTAGTTTATGAAAAATTATTTAAAATGTTTAAAAACAATTAACCGTAATCATACATCAATGAGCTTGGTTGTGCATTAAGTAGGGATTTAGACTTAGTGGTCAAATCATAACTACTCAATCAGCGTCTTTAATCCTCTTGTATTTTATCTTGCAGAAAACGATTGAAATAAAAGAAAATGAAAAGAAATCAAAATTTTCTAAAATTTCTTGTATACGAGAATGTACAATTTCATCAACTTTAAATCTCTCTATGATCGATTGGAAATAACCATCTTGGCTAAAAACCACAGAAAAAAATTGTAACTGTACAAAAAAAATCATATAATTTTATTAGCTCACCTGGCCCAAAGGGCCAAGTGAGCTTTTCTCATCACTTGGCGTCCGTCGTCCGTAAACTTTTACAAAAATCTTCTCCTCTGAAACTACTGGGCCAAATTTGACCAAACTTGGCCACAATCATTACTAGGGTATCTAGTTTAAAAAATATGTCCGGCCATCCCGCCAACCAACCAAGATGGCCACCATGGCTAAAAATAGAACATAGGGGTAAAATGTAGAATTTGGCTTATATCTCTGAAACAAAAGCATTTAGAGCAAATTTGACTTGGGGGTAAAATTGTTTATTAGATCAAGATCTATCTGCCCTGAAATTTTCAGATGAATCAGACAACCCGTTGTTGGGTTGCTACCCCTGAATTGGTAATTTTAAGAAAATTTTGCTGTTATTGGTTATTATCTTGAATATTATTATAGATAGAGATAAACTGTAAACAGCAATAATGTTCAGCAAAGTAAGATCTACAAATAAGTCAACTTGACCAAAATGGTCAGTTGACCCCTTAAATAGTTATTGCCCTTTATAGTAAATTTTTAACCATTTTTCGTAAATTTTTGTAATCTTTTACATAAATCTTCTCCTCTGAAACTACTAAGACAAATTTAACCAAACTTGGCCACAATCATCATTAGGGTATCTAGTTTAAAAAATGTATCCGATGACCCCACCCGCGAACCAAGATGGCCGACATGGCTAAAAAAAAGGACATATGGTAAAATGCAGTTTTTGGCTCTTATCTCTGAAACAAAAGCATTTAGAGCAAATCTGACAAGGATAAAATTGTTCATTAGGTCAATATCTATCTGCCCTGAAATTTTCAGACCAATCAGGCAATACCTTGTTGGGTTGCTGCCCCTGAATTGGTAATTTTAAGAAAATTTTGCAGCTTTTGGTTATTATCTTGAATATTATTATAGATAGAGATAAACTGTAAACAGCAATAATGTACAGCAAAGTAAGATCTACAAATAAGTCAAATGACCGAAATGGTCAATTGACCCCTTTAGGAGTTATTGCCCTTTAAAGTCAATTTTTTACAATTTTCATAAATTTTGTAAATTTTTTTGTAAATTTTTACAAAATATTTTCCACTCTAACTACTGGGCCAAGTTCATTATAGATAGAGATAATTGTAAGGAGCAAGAATGTTCAGTAAAGTAAGATCTACAAACACATCACCATCACTAAAACACAATTTTGTCATGAATCCATCTGTGTCCTTTGTTTAATATGCACATAGACCAAGGTGAGCGACACAGGCTCTTTAGAGCCTCTAGTTATAATAATAAAAGACCATTACATACAGATACATCAATCTCAAACCAGAATATTGATCCCCTACCCATATGCATCTGGCTTTATTTTAGCATTACCTAGCTAAGCAAGAGTTGTGTCCCCTGGTCTGTCAAACTTACGGTATTCGTTTGAGTTGAACTACTGGTATCTCGAAATATTTCTCTGGTTCCGACTGACATCGAGATACAAGAGATGACTGTTTACAGTTTTTCTGGCCTAAATTAGTTTGATAGGGGTATGTTGAGAATTTTTTTTAAAACTTTGTAATTTATGAATGTGATTTCAGTTTCATAATTCATGCAGTTCATGTGGTAGGAGGGTGACGAATATAGTCCAAGAATATCTTTTAATTTTATTTTGACAGACAATGGCATTAACCTATTGTATATATCACTTCAGGAAAAAGAATAGCTAAATAGTAAATTTTTTTTACTATGTCTTATGATCTACATTGTCTGGCTAGAGTTACTGTATGTCAGTTGTCTTAATCTTCTTTTCAAGGTTCCAATGACTGCATGAAAAAATCTGAATAGGTACAGGGAAATAAAAAAAAGTTGAGACGTTAGCAGTTGTCGGTGTGATTACTTGCTTTTTAGTCCCCTACTGACGAGGTTGAAGGGGTATTTAGGTTTGCACTCCGTCTGTCTGTCTGTCTGTCTGTCCGGCAAATCAGTTTTCCAGACTTTTTTTCTTTGTGCTTGAAGATATTGATTTGATATTTGGTTTATTGATTTATCATGACAATTTACAGGTCAAGTTCAATTTTCACAAATATAGCTTTTCTATTTGTTCAGTTAACACTTTCCTTACTGAATTGTTTTTTTCCGCGACTTTGTGTGGCCTGTTCAAATTTCCGCGCGCAGTTTGCCTGGCCTGAATTAATTTGACGTGTGAATGGAGAAAAATTGACGTTTTACAAAAAAACGTTTGTATCTTTGTTGTTTCTCATCAAATCGGTTTCAAACTCAATATTGTCACAATTAAGTATGTAAGGATCGTTGCAAAATAAACAATTTTACATGACAATACCTACTTTTGATAATTTTTAACCTTTTGTGGGAGGAAAATGACGTTTGATTTGCGAAATCATCTGTTTTGTGACCGGTTTATATTTTTGCCTTTCATCTGCTAAATTAACACTACAAACGGTAGTTAACAATTTCGAGTGTTCCTTTAACAAAGTTTTATGGAAAAAATAACTCCACAGTCAAAATTTTGACTCATTAGTCTGAATAAACACGAATGAAATGGTCTGTCAAATTCCGCGGCGGGCATTTTTGTACTTGTAATGCAATCACTTGAGAGGAAATTGTGTCCCTGGATAAGTTGGTGTTGTCTTTCTTAGTCCAATATTTTTTTGTATTTTTGCATGGATTGAGATATAACTTTACTATTGGGATCTTTTGTGGATTTTTTTTTTTATTTTAGTAGAGATATCTAATGATATTTTTTCTGGTAAAATAAATACTTTTGAGATTCATATGTGCTTTTTTAAATGAATGTGCATATATATTTTTTCTGTTTTTTTTTGTATCAGACCACTGCATGGAGATATTATTCAAATGTTAGCTGATCTGACACACTAATACATGAACATTTAACACTTCAATAATCTTGATAAATTAAGTGAGAAATAGTTAACTCTTTTAAGACAATCATGAACTTACTATGATTTATTTAAATAATTATCTTTGTTAGTGTCCATGGGATGCTAGAATTTCCACTGTCTTTGGTTGTGTATTGTTCAATGATGAAAATAATTTAATGCTCCTTAAAATTTGCTGATTCAAAAACTAATAAATGAAACTGTCAACTGTAACAACAATTATAAATTATGAATATCCTTTCAACAAATTATGAATATCCTTTCAACAAATTTTGAATATCTTTTCAACAAATCATGTACTCCTTTCAACTTCAATTGTAACCAAGTAACTGTCAATTAAGAAGTGTAATTTTTACGTGAATGGAAGACTGTGAAGCAATGTGGCAGGCAAAGGTGTTTGCTACATTCAACACAACCTTATTTTGTCTGACACCTTTTTTCCTGTGTACCATTAGCTACCCTATCCCAGCATACGTGACACCATGTCTTGTTCCCCAAGTCTGCTGGCAAATGCCTGTGTGTCAATCTGATTTCAGCTGGTAGGTTTGATGGCCTCCCCCGACGGTTGTCCCTTGTCGTATATCCTGCGATAAGCTTAGTAGCAACAGATTTTGAAAATTCCAAGAAGGTCATTGATGTAGTTTGCTGGTGATTTGGTGAAATTTGGAAAAGACGGTAGGCGTTAAACTTAATGATTTCAAGCATCTTGAAGAAAACTCTCTTTGGCCATTTCAGTGTCTTGTGTCCAAAGAAATAGTATTGGATATACTGGTCACAACAGTCAACACCACCCATGTGGGTGGTTTAATCAGCAACCATCTTTGGGCATTGAAGTTGCTGTCTTTGGAATTGTCCTTCATTTTGGACAATTCTACTTACTTCCGTCGAGCCGTTGTCATGTATGGTAGAGATCACAGACACATTTTTCTTGTCTTTCCATACTGTAGCTGCAATTGCCCCCTTTTGCCTAAACTGACTATCTCCTCTCTGTGTTACATTTACAGGTTTCTTTGTCATCAAATCCTTTGGCAAGCCTCTTCTGTTGTGGCGGACAGTTCCACAAGCTCCAGTGTCAAAATTTTCAAACAAACTGGTGAACAATGCAGGACTTGAAAAGTAATTATCCATTTAAACATGGTAACCTTGTCTGGATAAATTGGCTCCTTCAAGACAAGAGATAACAACGGTGCTGGCCAACCCTACATGTGTTTGATCTGTCTTGCCCTGGTAGATCTCACAATATGACATGTATCCAGTGTCAGACTCTGCCAATGCCCAAAGTTTGATGCCCCATTTCGTTGGTTTAGCAGGCATGTATTGCTTGAATGCAACCCTTCCTTTGTAAGGTATCATGCACTCATCAATTGTCACCTCTTGTTTGGGGACATATTGGTCTCTCATTTGTTTGTTAAGGGCGTCCATAATGTATCTGACTTTGTAAGTGCCATCATAATTAGCCTCCCCTCTTTGCGGAACTTGCTGGTGAGGATCAGTGAAGTGTAGATACCTCATTATCTGCATAAATCTGTCATGTGCCAAAACTGTGGCAAAATATGGGGTTTCCAAGCAATCTGTAGACCAATATGATTTAATGTCTGGCTTTACATCAATACCCATGAGAAAAGTAATACCAAGAAAAGCCTTCATCTCTGGCAAGGAGGGACAAGACCAAGCTGATTTATTTTGGTCAGGGTTTATATCTTTTTGCATCTTTGCATAACTATCAGTTTTCTCAATTATACTTTGTATAAAGTTGTCAGATAGGAACAGTTGAAAAAAGTCAATGGTATCCTTCTCTGGGCCTAATATGTTTTGTGGGCCTGTACTACTTCTAGGTTGGAATAGATGGGGGAGACCTCTTTCAAATATATCAAATTCTTGGTGCCATCTGTCATTGTTGGGGGCATCACCGGCATTATTTACATCTGCCAGTTGTTGTTCATCATTATTTTCGTCTGAAAGTTCACTTTCAACATCACTGATCATGAAATCATCACCTATACCATTTTGAGCTAATTACATTTGATACCATTGACAAGCAAGTTCTACTTCTCCCTCCGACAATCCCTCAAACTCGTCCTCTGAACTATCGAACAATTTTGTGTTTTAAAATGATACAGACGACATTTTACTATTATTTACTACGATTTTGGCGTCCTTGACACAGAGCAAGTGAGAGAGGAAAGTGATTGGACAGTTTTATTTAGATTTTCCATAAAAGGAGCACGACCTTTTGCACTCATGGGAAAAATCTGCGCCCAATGAAGTCCGATTTTTACTTGATTTTTGTCTCCGTTGAATTGCAAAACGCATTTTTCGTATTTTTATGCCCCCGCCGTAGTGGAGGGGGCATTAAGTTTTACCCTTGTCTGTCTGTACGTACGTACGTCCGTCCGTACGTCCCGAAATTGGTTTCCGTTCTCTAACTTGAGTTTGCCTCAACCAAATGTTATGAAACTTATACACAATGCTTATTACCACAAAACACAGATCAAGTTTGAATTTTGGTGGCGTCACTTTAACCGATCTAGAGTTATGCCCCTTTATAAAAGGAAATATTGCAAAATTTTTAGTTTCCGTTCTCTAACTTAAGTTTGCCTGAACCAAATGTTATGAAACTTATACACAATGCTTATTACCACAAAACACAGATCAAGTTCAAATTTTGGTGGTGTCACTTTAACCGATCTAGAGTTGTGCCCCTTTATAAAAGGAAAAATTGTAAAATTTTTATTTTCTTCTAAATATCAAGTTTATATAATATATTTTAAAAAAATTGGCGTTATCTTCCTTTGACCATGATTATAGTTGAATCAACTACAATCATTGCTTTATACAATGCAATGTTTAATTTTGACTTCCACTGATAAAACACAGATCAAGTTGAATTTGGGTAGTGTCACTTTAACCATTATTGAGTTATGCCCCTTTATAAATAAAAAGATTGCAAAATTTTTTAGTTTCCATTCTGTAACTGAAGTTTTCCCCAGCCAAACATTATGAAACCTATACACAATATTCATTACCACAAAACTCCGTAAGGATCAAGTACAAATTTTTTGTTTCAGTTCTCTAACTTGAGTTTGCCTCAACCAAATGTTATGAAACTTATACACAATGCTTATTACTACATAATACAGATTAAGTACGAAATTAGGTGGCAACACTTTTACCATTCTAGAGTTATGTCCTTTATAAACATAAAAATTGCTGAATTTTTTAGTTTGTCTCAACCAAATGTTGTAAAACTTATACACAACCGTTCTAGAGTTATGCGTGTTTACAAATAGAAAAATTGCTGAATTTTTAGTTTCTGTTCTCTACTTAAGTTAGCCTCAACCAAATGTTATGAGACTTACACACAATGCTTATTACCACAAAACTCAGATCAAGTTCAAATTTGGGTAGCGTCACTTTTACCGTTCTTCAGTTATGTCCCTTTATAACTATATGATATGCAAGCGGGGGCATCATCTGTGTCCACATGTGGATACTATCCACATTTATTTAATATAACATTCATCAAATTAATCATGAAATTAAATTTAATTGTTTTCCAAATAACATTTTCTTGACCAAAATGGTCACATGTTCGCATCACATGTGTTGTACAAAATGGCGACGTCTTATTTTGTTTGTTGACGCTACCGATCTTCCATTGTATTGTAGTAAATATTAGGTATCAAATTCAGTCAGAATAGGTATTCTTTAATTTTGATATACAAGCTTCCTGAAAACCCATATATAAATTGGCTTAAACGTAGCTTTACTGGGGAAAATGTGTTAAAAGACGAAAATTATTTTTATCACGTGATTGACGATGCCTCAGGGCATCGTCCGGCATGTGGTAGGTGATGCCTTGAGGCATCATTCGCCTTAAATGGGTTAAAGCCTTTCCTTAGAATTAAATTTTTGATGAAATACTAATTAATTAGTAGATTTCTGTTCAAAGGGAAATAACTCATTTTTAGAAAAGACTTTTAAAAGACAAAATGACATTTTGGACTTTTTTCCTTTTCTTTGGTAAATTGTTTGAAGAATTTAGTGGTAGGTTTGTTTGTCATTCTTGGAGATATTGATTTGATAATTAATATATAGTTTTATCATGACAAGTTACAGATCAAGTTGGAATTTTGTTCCAGTCTGATAATTTTGTGCAGAGTTATGGTCTTTGGACATAGAAAATTCACTTACATAATCAGTTTTCCACAGTTTTTTTCGTCATGCTTGAAGATTTTGACTTGATATTTTTATGTAGTTTACACCATGACAACTTATAGATCAAGTTAGAATTTTGTTCCATTACAATGAATTTTTAACCGGTAGGGGACTATGTATTGCCATGCAATACTCACAGAATGCTTGTTCTGTTTCCATTCATTATTGATATTCTTTTTTAACAGGGTATTGTGGTGCTGACTTAAAATCACTTTGCACTGAGGCTTCATTGTTGGCTTTGAGAAGAAGATATCCACAAATTTACACAACATCTGAAAAACTGCAACTTGATGTGTCTTCGATAAATCTTGCTGCTAAAGACTTCTTCAATGCTATGAATTCTATTGTTCCAGCATCTCAAAGATCTGTTACTTCTCCAGCTCGTGCATTGTCATTGCGTGTTCAGCCTTTATTGAGAATTATTTTTAAACAATGTATAGATGCAGTTCAAAAAGTTTTTCCATCTGTATTTACCCAGCTGTCTTGTCTAGATGCTCCTGGTAAGTAATCTTTTAAATGTTGTACTTAGTAGAACATCACAGTTAGGATTTATATCACAATATCAGTTAATAATTGATAGTCAACTCTTACAGATTATCATATTTCCATCAAATATAATGCATGTGTGATAAGACAGTAGTGAATAAGTCAAAAAGATTTATATTATCAGGCTTTCAGTATGAGAACCATTTTTTTCTTTTTGTTTTGACTTTCAGGTATTATTTCCCACAAGAGACTTGAAGAAAAAATCTTGTTTACAAGCAGTATACAAGTTTTCACTAAATGACCCTTATTTTAGAATCCTGAAAGCCCTGCTAATTAAAATAGCGATGTCCGAGCATCTCACATTTATCTCTTTTTCAATTCATCAGTCATGTTGCACTGACTTTTTTAAAAGTAATTACATGATTTTAATAATCAGTCAGGGGACTTATTGAAATAAGTGATTTTTAAATCACTTATTTAAGTAGCAAATTCAAAGTTTTGTCACAAATTGTGATTTTGTAGTTTTACCAAAATTTTAAACACATAGGTTTAGATAATATCTTTTCATTAGTAAAATTGAAAAAAATGAACTTTTTGCTTCTTTTAAGCAGCAAGGTTTATGCCTTTGATGCAATCATTTAGCTGCAAATTCTATTCTAGTTGAAAAAATGCTATAAAAATGGCTTAACATAATGAACTGATACTTTCTTAAAAGATTTTTCCCTGCAGTGGGAGTATTTTTCCTGTAAAATTTAAGGTTTCATCTTATAGATTATGTAATAAAATTCTACTGTTCGCGATAAAAATTTCACTGTTCGGGGGTGTTGAAAATAGTGGGGGGTTATTAAAATAATGATACTTAAAGAAGTGATTTTTTGGAAGGAAATTGAGGTATGATACTTAAACAAGTGATTGTTATGTCATTATCCTAGATTTAGTACAAGGTCATCACCTGACATGACCCGGTCATCCTATCAACACAGATGTTGGTTCTGATAATTTTAGCAACATAATTAGTCCCTGGATCATTAGTATTCTATATTTAAAGCTACAATAAAATTAAATCACTTAGTCTAGTGATTAATTTGTACTACTTAAATAGGTGATTATTAAAGAAAGACAACCCTTACTTCCAACCTTTATGCACATAATGTTACTTGAATCAGTGATTTAGAAAATCACTCATTTAAGTAAGTCCCCTGACTGATAATGCTAAGTCTTTTATCAGAAAGTTTTATAAGCACTTACAAAACGTGATCCATTCCTGTTTACAGCAAATAATATGGCAGTTTATTTTATTTTGATGCAAAGCAGGGAAAACCAATGTCTTTGTTAGCAGCCTTGTAATGGTTCTTATATATTTTTTTAGCTACAACCAGTCAGCAGGAGTCAAGCACTAACTTGTTGGAGCAGCTAGACAGTGACGAAGATGAAAATGCACCTAGTATATATGAAAATAAGGGTAAAGGAAAAAAGAAGAAAGAAGACAATGAACCAGAAACATTTCTAAGTTTTGCAAGGTAACATTACATTAGTATGGGAGTATATTCACAAAAAAATGATATGATTTTTTTGGTACTTTATGAAAATGCTATTTCCAATTTTTTTTTCATATTTTGTAAGGATCCTTCAGGGGAAATGCACAACTATAGGACTAGAAAGAAAACTAAATGAAAGACTTTTAGAATAAGATACAAGAAGACAGATCTATTATTTACTTTTAGAATTTAATAACTCTGCTGGTTTAATTTGCATCACAACAAAACAGATTGAATTTACAATTTAATCTACCGTGGCCTCTAAAGTTTCACTGCCAGTTTATCAATTAAGTCGTCTGCCCGCCGGGCTACCGGTACTTCATTTTTGGTAATACTTTTATTAAAATGAATATGTGTATATATATAAATAGTTGTGTTATAAAACTATGGATAACTTCAGAGATGCAACTAATCGTCGGACTTGTCGGCCCGAAGGGGCAGAAATTGAGCAGGTCCGGCAAATTGGGCTTTTGTGCAAGACCTAATGACCGGCAGGCAGTTCTCTAGGATTTTAGTAAGATTTAGCATTTTTGGTGCTAACCTATTAGTGGGGAATTGAAATTTGCCTTGTTGAAAATTTATTAATTAAAGTTAGTATGTTTGCTTTAGATGATTCAAACATCAATGCTTTGTAGGTCAACTTTCGCGGTAAACAATTGGGATACATGAGATTGGGGAGAGAAACGGCAGTTTTCATTCTTTCTGTAACTGTAACTGTATTGCGAATCTTCTTCTAATAAAGGAGCACCTCAATTGATGAGTAATTATCCACCAAAATAAAAGTTAATGTATCTGAACACTTAAAATGTTACATTTATTATATGAAAAGTAGTCTTCCATTAAAACAAAATTCTGTGTACCAACATAATGGTAAAAAAATTATAAAATTTTCAAATGTTGCTTTTTGAAGTTTAAACATATTTATTCATGCAATTTACAAATATATCAAAATATACAAGGATAACAAAAATTAAGATCTGGAAACAAGCTGCACACAGCTTATATCAATTGATTGATTTTTGTAAGTACATGTATCCCTGTGATGAGAGTTGTAACTGGGAACTTTAAAGAGGGAAATTTAAAACTGAATTGACTTTTCAGTCCTCACTTTCCTGAGAAAGTTGTAATCAATTAAAAATCTTAGAGCACTGTCAAAAAAAATGGAGAATGGCCCTAGCCTGATGTTCAGTGGTACACAATAAAAAAAATTAAAATATATTGTAGTAATTATTAAATAAAAGCATTGAAAAGAACTCAATTGAATTTTAGATATTTTCTAAAAATAATCCACTAAAGCAGCTGTCACTGTAAAGACATCCTATCTCCGTTCTCTTACTGTATAAAAAGCTGATATAAAAAAAATGTAGGTCTGGCAAAAATTTGATGGGTCTGACAAAATTTGCTACCCTGTAGGCCCCAATGTCTGACAGAAAAAAATAACTGTTTGCATCTCTGTAACTTATTTGATTTGGTTGAGATACCCTTGCGTTAATTGGTCTAAATATCAAGTCACGTTTGTGAGAGTTCGCTATGTGTGCCATTTTATCAAGTCACATTTTTGAGAGTTCTCATCGCATGTTGATTGGTCTAATTGATAAGTCACATCCACAACGAGTTTTCGATTATCAAAAATGTCAGCCTCATTCATTATAAAAGTTAAAATGATCTAAAATGGAAAGATTTCTTAACAATTACGTTCCTAAGACCAAAGTGCCTAAATTAAATAACTCCAGAATTGAAAACTAAAGAGTTTATGGTTCACCTTTTATCAACTGAATCCACAAAAATGTATCCCACGAATAATAATGAATTTACAGTATTGTAAAACAAAATCATCGGATTTATCTTTCTTAAAAACTTTAAATATACATGTATTATAATCTTGTTCTCTGAACATAGAAATGTGATAAAGTGTGCTCAGGAGCAGTGTCCTATGAGTTATAAATATGCCAGTACTGTCAAGCATTTTTTAAAATCCAAAGATAGTTTGAAGATGCTTGCCATAGAAATGCATAATAAATTGAAATATGAAGAAATCTATCTGGCTAGGTCCCGAATTATTCATATACACAATATCAGGGGGGCATACTATTGTGTATTCAGCGGTTTAAATTTTCTTAAATGAATTCTTCCATAAATTATGATAATACCTAATTGTTTTCATATAATACAGGATTTGTTTATATTTAACAGTTATGCTAGCAAGACACCAACAACACACAGACCAAGAATGTTATTAGCTGGCCAACCAGGACAAGGACAGACAACTCATTTAGCCCCAGCAATTCTTCATAACATGGAACAATTACCTGTTCATGTTCTTGATCTTCCCTCACTTTTTGCAGTCAGTACTAAAACTCCAGAAGAATCATGTGCTCAGGTAGTTCTCCATAAGTTAAAGAGGTTATATAAAATTTAACAGATTCTCCATTACTTTTGAACAGAATGACTCGAAATCTGGTTTGCAGGTTTACAGTGATGAATTGAGAAGTGAAAGCATTTTTCTGATTTGATAGGCACACACTTTCTGTTTTTCAATACTTCAAATTACAAGTCAAGGGGCATGCTTAGCAACTTCTTGTTTTGTAATGTTTAAAATATTTTAGCTTACTTTTTCACTTTTTGCAGTTAAAGTATTAACTATTGATGTTTTTATGCCCCATCTAGGGGCATAATGTTTTTTGGTCTCTGCATCTGTTCGTTAGTTCATTCGTCCGTCTGTTCGTTCATCCGCCTGTCCCGCTTCAGGATAAAGTTTTTGGTCAAGGTAGTTTTTGATGAAGTTGAAGTCCAATCAACTTGAAACTTAGTACTCATGTTCCCTGTGATATGATCTTTCTAATTTTAATGCCAAATTAGAGTTTTGACCCCAATTTCACGGTCCACTGAACATAGAAAATGATAGTGCGAGTGGGGCAACCGTGTACTATGAACACATTCAACAGTGTTCTCCCCAGAAATTTTTTAAGGCGCAAAATTTCAAGGGCACGTAAGTCTATTTTAGAGTGAACTATTGTGACCTGAAGCAATCGGTCATAAATCATTACATGCAATTATGCACAGTATTAATAAACATGATAAAGAATAAGAATATATATATGAAATAAATTCATTTTAAACACAAAAAGCATTTATATCACAGTCAATTAAATAAGTCAAAATGTATATATAGTTCAAGAATAATCCTCATGTTCTTCTGGGCCTTCCAATGCTGAACAGCTTCAGAAATATGTATTTCTACATCTCTGTTTCTTCTAGAGATATAGTAACAAGACAGTTTGTAATTTTGTTGGACAGCCTGTTCCTCAGTCTTTATCCTCTAGGGTTGAAAACATCATCTGCCTTTCGCTTAACCCATTTTTTCTTTGCAAAGAACATGTTGATTCAGCATTTAAATTGATTATGTTTAAGATGTTTGATATACAACTTTTTAAAACAAAAAAATTGTAATGAACCAGCTGACCAGTGTCCGTAGTTTGACATTACGCTTCCGTGTGTATAATTGTCAAAATGTTTCTTTGGCAGGTAGATATAAACGAAACTTGACAAATTCTTCAAATTTAAAACCAGTGAAATTTTTTACTAGTGACATTATACAAATGCTGCAGCGATTCCGTACATATAGATTCTACCACTGCATCGAGTGTGATACGATATTTATCCACTCGAGACAGTTAAATTTTCAAATTTAAAACGCGAGGCTCGCCGAGTGTTTTAAATATTTAAATTTTAACTGTCGAGAGTGGATAAATATTGTATTACACGAGATTTGGTGGTGGAATCTGTTTCTCTAATGATTTTCAAACAATATGCAGGCAAACTTATTCCTTCTTTTCGAATGATCTGCAAAAAGATGTGTTCTTTCTATGTGACGTCATCGGGCATGGTCGCCTTTTTTCATGCCGTCACAATAGGAAATTCAGAGGAAAGCAAGAGAATTCGACGTCATAATAGGATTTTAACAAATGAAGAACTGAGATCATGCGTTGATTAAATTTTTTTATACAATGGGTGCAGAAAGTGATAAATTGACGAAGAATTAGAGAAATATATTTCCCGATGGACGAATTAATGATCGATGTTAAAAAATTATTTTATTTCTATAACGTGACAGTTGACAGACGACTTTTACTTGCAAGTAACAATTTTTCACTTTCTAATAAAATAAATCACTCCTCGTTATCTTTAATAAAAGTTTATTTTACTTTTTTGACGTATTGTTCAATGTTCATTGGTTGTGTTTAAATAGATTCTTCTTCTCGACCAATGAAAAAATTCGTTACTTAAATGGCCAAGTATCGCACACAGACGATGCGTAAATACAATGTATTTGCGATCTATTTCTTCAATTTTTGCACTGAAGTTTTTAAAAAACTTTTATTTTCTACTAAAAATATCTATCTTCTTGATCATTTACGCTATAACATGATTACATGGTCTGATAAGGCTGGAACAGTTTTCTTAGCTTCTAGTTTTTGTTGTTATGAGATCTTTAATAAATAACCTTTGCTAGGAGAACCGTATTAATTGGTAAATCTACATCTAGAATATTATACCTCTACTCTAGGAGTGGGTGCTTTATTGCATTCACCTTATCTGTCTGTCCTTTTGTCTAACAAATATTTAAGACAAGCTTTTCTCAGGTATTACTGAACAGAATGAATTCATATTTTGTCATCAGCTTGACCATTACAAGTTGTAACATTTTCAGATCTGCCAGACATCTAGTTTCTGCTTTTCACTACCTTTGAATTTCAAGAGGGAATATTCTTAGCATGACATCGCATGCATTCTTGCTTTACATTTTGATATTCAAGTTTTCAAAAATTAAGTGTCTATTTCATTTATGTGCATATGGAAAAGTTACAAAAATTAAGAAAGACTGAACATATCAAAATTAGATTTGGTTTATTTAAAAAAAAAATTCATGCAGTGATTTGAAGAAGAAAAAAACCAAACAAATACACTTATATTTTCATAAAAAAAAAGAAATAATCTCTTGTTACATGACAAAAATTAATGACAAAGCCAAAGGCAAAGTTGTGAAATAGAGTTATTATTTGGTGGAGTTGTGAGCATTGCCTTACTTACACTCTTATCCCATCCACCTTATTTGAGATTTGCAGACTTAAACTTACAGAGTATGTTGAATTTCATCAACAGGCTCCAGCTTCTTTGCTTATTTTTAACAAGCTTTGCTTATGAATCATCCTGTATTTTTTTATCCAAACACCTGTGAAATTAAGCGGTTGAAGTAAAGTATTTAAACCTCCTTACATCAAAACCTGTTTTAAATATTATTTAAAATTGTAATTGATGTCAATATTTTATTTAATTTTAGGTTTTCCGTGAGGCAAGACGTACTGCACCTAGTATTATTTACATGCCTGATATTGAGCAGTTATGGAGTGTATTAACTGATACATTACGTGCAACGTTTATGATGATGTTAAATGAATTGGATCCAACTGCACCAATTCTTCTTTTAGCAACAAGTGAATGCCATTACAGCATGCTTGGGGAACAGGTAATAGGGATTTATGGAATTGTTACATTTTTGTATTTTTTTCTTTTGGTTATAATCTTGAATATTATTGAAGATAAAGATAAACTGTAAACAGCAAAAATGTTCAGTGAAGTAAGATCTACAAAAAAGTTTTTATATGACCAAAATTGTCAAATGACCCCTTAAGGAGTTATTGCCCTTAAAGTACAATTTTACACAATTTGTTTATGTTTTCTAACTTTAAAAATCTTCTCAAATGAATCTAGTATAAATTTTGTATTCTATTTCTTTGTACATCAAGAAACATACCCACTATGGCTAAAATGGAACATATGGGTAAAATGAATTTATTTGCTTTTGAAGAAAATATGACCGATACAAAGAACATTTAAATGGCATTTTTAAGCCACTCATTAATATATATTGAAAAGCAAAAATAATCATTGATGAAAGATTTAAGCAAAAAATTACAGGTGAGTGATTCAGGCTCTTGAGAGCCACTTGTTTCTTTATGTAAAAAGCCATGTGATCTAAAATTTTTTAGCTTTTGGCCATGTAAAATAAATTTTCTAGTTCTCAGATATTTGCCATATCAGCAAAAGTAAGCCACTGTCTTGTATTTATTTTTGGAAGATAAGCTGTTAACAGGCAGATGAGGGGATGAGGTGCACTGTGATATTGTTGTTTACTTTATTATTGTTTTGCAGTTGACACATATCTTTGACAGCAACTTTAGTCAAGTCATTAAGATGGCTTATCCATCAGAGACTGAAAGAAGAGAATTTTTCACTGATATATTGTTAAATCAAGCAGTGCAGCCACCTTCTCAAAGGAAGCAGGCTGGTAAGCTTTATCTTAGATGCCAAGGTTTTCAAAATATTCATATTATCTGGATTAGTCTTGATATTTTTTCATAAGTGTTGTAACGATTACCTCAGATAATGGATTTTCTATTTTTGAAACCTTAACAAAGCTAGTAATAGATTGTTATAAAAAAAAATATAATCCAAGATTGATTTACTATAAAGTTAAAGTTATGGAATTAATTTTTTTTTATTTTGGTCACTATTGTGTTATTTAACTCTTTATACAAATATAAATGTGAGAGAAACAAACCTGAACTTTCAATTATCGAAAAAAATAATTTTCTTTGAATGGGGGTATTATATCAGAATGTCTTTGAGTTTGAAATCATCGCTGATCGATTATTTTGACAGGAGTAATGTTAATAGAAACAAAATTTTGTTGTAGTTAAGTAATTTGCTGTGGACAGATATAATATGTGCAAGTGAAGGGAACATTGGAACGCTGTTTTTTATTCATCATTTATTAGTAGTGTGTATAAATGTACAGACATAGTTATGTGTCATGATTAAAGAATTAATAAAGGGAGCTAGCTGCACAACTGCACTTATGGTTCTCAAGATTAACTCCTCCCCTTTACAAAAAGAAAAATAAAAGTAAAAGAAGAAATAGATTTAAAAAAAAGATGTTTTAGAAACAATTTCAAAGGAATAGCAGTCAGTTAAAATTAAGTAAACTGAAATTGTACTGGTAATTACAAACACTGTGATAAAATAAATACTTATGTAATTGTGCAGTGTAGTTTTCAGATTTGTACAAATTAAAGAGATCTTAATACTTTGATGTCATGAAAATGCCTTATTTCCTACAAAACTTTGTATGTCATTTATTCACTCATACTCATACTGTTTACAAAAAAAAATAAAAAAATAAATGCGTCTGATGACCCTGCCTGCCAAGCAAGATGGCAGACATGGCTAAAAATAGAAGATAGGGGTAAACTACAAGTTTTGTCTATTATCTTGAAAACTGCTATGAATAGAGAAAACTTACAGGGTCATAAATGTTGAGATTGTTGAGATCTACCTGCTGTCCATTTACTTTAAAATTGTCAGACAACTTCTTATAGGAGTTACTGCCCTTTAATGTAAAATTTTATCATTTTCTTTCATTTTTAGTAGTTTAGGTAGTTTTTGATGAAGTTGAAGTCCAATCAACTTGAAACTTAGTGCACATGTTCCCTATGGTATGATCTTTCTAATATTAATGTCAAATTAGAGTTTTTACCCCAATTTCACGGTCCACTGAACATAGAAATTGATAGTGCAAGTGGGGCATCCATGTACTATGTACACATTCTTGTCTATTATTTTGAAAATTATAATATTAACAAAGATACTTTTATTATGGAAAATGATAAGCAATACAAGATCTACAAACAAGCTAACATGGCTGAAATCGTCAGACTATTTATCATGTTTATTTGAGATTATTGCTCTTTAATGATGATTTTTTTTTCCAATTTTTTGCGCTTTTGCCTAATATCATTAAAACCTTTAATAAATACAATGTAGATAGTAACTTTAAAAAGGAAATATGATCAGCAGGACAAAATCTAAAAATAAGTCAAACATGATAGAAATCTTCAGTCGACTCCTGATTGAAGTTATTGCCCTTTCGTGATGATTTTTTACCAAAAAATAGCGTTTGTTGAAGATGCAAGTGAGCAACACAGGCTCTTTAGAGCCTCTAGTTTAGTTAATAGTTAATTCCCATTTACTCAGTTTCTGCTGACTGCTATTCCTATAATTGTGCTATAATTTTTAAGTTTATTGAAAAACTTTATAGATTTTCAGAATTCAGACTGTCCAAATAGTTTTGGTAGAGGTAGCTTTTTAAAGAATTATTGAATTTGCATGAATGACTGTTATGTTTGCAATTTAGTGGAACTGATGAAGAAAGTGTTTTTGTCTCGCCTGCTATGAGAGACTTAGGTATTACTATCTGGCGGCGGCGTAAACTATTTTTATAAAGCCTTATATTTCAGAAGGTAGAAGACCTGGATTCTTCATATCTTGTATGCAGGTACCTTATGTTACGAAATTTCCGTCTTCATATGTTCATTGTCCTTGACCTCATTTTCATGGTTCAGCGACTGCTTGAAAAAAAAAGTCATGTGAATTCCTCACTTATTATGAGTAATAGGATGCAACGTCTACATGTCCGCCAGACAGTGTTCACCTAATATCGACCTCATGGATCAGTGATCAATGTTAAAGTTACGTGATTAGGTCCGTTTCTCAAATATTATAAGCAGTAGGTCAACTTTATGTGGTGTATGGATCAATTGTAATGGGTACATGTCAGTCTGGCAGGTTTCATCTGACCTTGACCTCATTTACCTTACAGTTATTCCATACACCAAATATAGCTGACCTGTTACTGTTAGTATTTGAAAAACAGACCAAAACACAAAAACTTGGTCAAAGTTAAGTTTTTGTGTTTTGGTATGTTTTTCAAATACTAATAGTAACAGGTCAGCTATATTTGGTGTATGGAATAACTGTAAGGTGTACATGTCTGACTGGCAGGTATAATCTGACCTTGACCCCATTTTCATGGTTCATTGGTCAGTGTTAATTTTTTGTGTTTTGGTCTGTTTTTCAATTATCATAAGCAATAGGTCAACTATATTTGGTGTTAAAAAAAATTGTAAGGTGTATATGTCTGTCTGACAGGATTTATCTGACCTTGACCTAATTCTTATAGAATTTTAAAAATGTTTGTGATACTTTTAGTAAAACCTTGATCTTTAAGACTTTCAACATAAAATCAAGGTCTGTAAAGCAGGCGAGAGATTTCAGCGTGTGCACTCTTGTTTTTTATAGTTATTTGTTTTTTTGTATGTTATTTGTAAGTTGGAAAAAAATATTTGTCCTTGATGCATGCTTATAACACAAATCTATATCGAAATATGATTTTTGAAAATAGTTATTTCACACAGCATATCCTCCACTCCTCAGTCAAGGATTACTGTAAACTAGAAAATATTTGCAGGTTTGTTTGAATTGTGCCTGACAGTATTTTGTGGAGTAGATGAATACAGAATTAAAATGAAAAAAATTGGCCTTTTATGTTAAAGAATAGGCAAATTGGTCATATTATAACTTAATTTACTCACTACATTTGTTTAAGGACTGTACCATGGGCCGATATCTATTTGCGCCACAACTTAATTGCACCAATGCTGCTTCTGCGCCACCTCATTTTGGAAACTATAGGTTTCATTTGCGCCAATAAAACAATCATTTGATACCTTTTTAAAACTGTAATTGGCCCAAATTGATTCTGCCTGTCCCATGTATGTTTACATGGAACAATGTAAAAGCCATTAATTGGAATGATAACAGCATAATAAGACTTTAATCCTGTTTTCTTTCAAGACGGACAAGCTGTTTTCCTTGCATAGACATGCATACATATATTTCAAAGTTTATCTTTAAAATATTTAACTTTTTCAAAGGATGAAAACGCATGATCTGTGAAGTTTATCAAATTGCTGAATTCTTCTTTGATATTGGAAAAATTCTCTATTACAAAAATTTTGTGAAAGATTAAGAACTGGCAAATCGAACCTTTCATACTTTTTGTTTTATTGAAAAATAAAACAGGAACTCTGCCAGCTGAATCTAGCTGATTCACTAAAAAATATTTTTGAAATTTAACACATACAAACAATTTTAACATTTAAATTGTCAAATGTCAAAAATAATACAAGAGTAAAATATCCCTGTTTATAATAAATGTGAAAGCTGAAGAACTATCTTTTTTAATTTTGAATTATAAACATAGTTTTAGAAGCAATGCAGTTAGAACGACAAATTACAGATATCAGTAGTTTTGTCACAGATTTTAATTACTATTTTTTTTGGATTATGCAAGTAAGCGAAATCAATATTATAGTATTGAATGTAGACATATATTGGATGTTTTGATAAGACTTGGGTCATTCTAATTTTGAAAATATTGCATTGAATTTTATATATCATAAAATATTTATGTTACAAGTCCCGTTTCACCACAGGAGCATTTTACAAAAACTAAACCCAAAATGAAATCTGGTAAGTTATATTGAACTATCAATGTTGACTCCTGTCAAGTAAAAAATAAAAGCAAAATCTAGAAATTATTTTTTCCATCCCTGCCACACTGGTGGAGTAAAAAAGTTATAGTCTGCATCCATCAGTATGTAACACTTCAAGAATACTCCTCCTATTCAACCAAATGCTTTCATTATGTAGGGTTGTTTGTTATCATGTATATGCTGCCATTGTGATTTGACAATTTTTGCAGGAGATATAGGACTTGCCATGTTTGGCCTATATGTATCTTAATGACACCATATGATTACTACTCCTCTGAGACCAGATATCTAAAAACTCTCAAATTGTTTGTCATTAAATACTTAGTTAACCATTCTATATCCCCATTTTGATTTGAAAACTTTTGCAAGAGTTATTGGACTTGCACCAATTTTGGTGTATGGTAGCATAGAAACACCTAGCTTAACATTGTTGAAATTTTAGGTTTTTTGTTGGTTTATGTTTAAGAATTCCTTCAGTGACAATTGACACATGGTTTGCTGTTGTATAAGTATATCTCTGTGTTAACAGTTTATGTTGGTTTATGTTTAAGAATTCCTTCAGTGACAATTGACACATGGTTTGCTGTTGTATAAGTATATATCTCTGTGTTAACAGTTTTATTTAGCTTAGTTCGAAAAATTAGTACTACTCATTGCTACTTATACAATATTGATTTAAACGGTGAATTATTAGTAAGAAGTTAGTGCTTTGTTGCAATATTATCATTAAACTTTCAGCAAAAAGATTTTTAGAAATTTTACCAAAGGCTGCACCACCAGAACCAAGGAAATATTCAGCAAGGGAATTGGAGAAGATTTATGAACAAGAAGAAACTACACTCAGGGAATTACGACTGTTTCTCAGGGATGTTCTCAACAAATTAGGAAGAGACCGAAAGTTCCAAATCTTTGCTAAACCTGTTGACACTGAGGATGTAAGTTGCATTGTTGTAATACTAATGCATTTTGAAATGAATACATACCAGATATGTTTTAACATGCATATTTTAGAGGAAATTCTTAATATTGAAAATGTATTGCCCCAAATTTGCCTTAAATTTTGCAGGAAAATCACTTTTCCAATATTAAACAAGAGTTTAATGATGTCTACTGCCTAAATTCATATCCAACGTAAAATTATCAACTCTGACAAAAATAAAATTATGTCTTTTGTTTAATATAAAAAACGACAAAACATTTCTTTAGAAGCTGATCAATGAACTATTTTTCCGATTTTTTTAGCGGTTTTATTAGAATTCGTTATTACAACACACAAAAAAAACTAGTAACAATAGGCATTGAATTTTCATTGTTGAGTTTACAGTTAATTCCCCTGAAACTGTATTGACTCCCTTTAATTTCATGCTTCATGTGATAGTATTTAAGCAGTATGATTGGATGAATGTCCTAAAGACGAGCTGTGTAATGAGAACATCTGCACAATTTCTTTTATTAATGCGATTTTCAAAGGTGTTTTTCTGCTTTTTTTTGGTTCAAGTAGTTGAAATGATATATAGATTTCCTGTTTCCGAGCCACATTGTTGAATAAAAAGTGTAAACCTCACAGGAAATGGCCAGGCAAGTCTCCATTGAAATTTTTTTGCAGTTCAAACCATAAGTCATTCATGTATTGTACTTGGTGATTTCCAAGTTCCTTAGAGCTTAAGGCATATGTTTTTATACGCCCGTTTACGGGTTGTATTATGGTATACCGTTGACCGTCTGTCTTTCCGTCTGTCTGTACGTCTGTCTTCAACATGTCAGACATTAATTAAAAAACGCTTTAACCAATATGCATGAAACTTTGGTGAATTGTTTATATCTATTGACGTGAGCTCCCTTTCGTTTTTGTCGAGCCTGTGACTTTTGTCGCAGAAAGCTCGAAATAGGGATAGTGATCCGGCGGCGGCGGCGGCGGTAGCTAACTTCTTAAAAGCTTTATATTTTAGAAGGTGGAAGGTCTGGATGCTTCATACTTTGTATATGGATGCCTCATGTTACGAAGTTTCCGTCAGTCACATGTCCAATGTCCTTGACCTCATTTTCATGGTTCAGTGACTACTTGAAAAAAAAGTTCAGATTTTTTGTAATGTTAGATTCTCTCTTATTATAAGTAATAGGATAACTATATTTGGTATGTGCGTACCTTGCAAGGTCCTCATGCCCGTCAGACAGTTTTCACTTGACCTCAACCTCATTTCATGGATCAGTGAACAAGGTTAAGTTTTGGTGGTCAAGTCCATATCTCAGATACTATAAGCAATAGGTCTAGTATATTCGGTGTATGGAAGGACTGTAAGGTGTACATGTCCAACTGGCAGGTGTCATCTGACCTTGACCTCATTTTCATGGTTCAGTGGTTATAGTTAAGTTTTTGTGTTTTGGTCTGTTTTTCTTATACTGTATGCCATAGGTCTACTTTATTTGGTGTATGGAATGATTGTAAGGTGTACATGTCTAGCGGGCAGGTGTCATCTGACCTTGACCTCATTTTCATGGTTCAGTGGTCAAAGTTGCGTTTTTGAGTTTTGGTCTTTTTTTCTAATACTATATGCAATAGTTCAACTATATTTGGTATGTGCGTACCTTGCAAGGTCCTCATGCCCGTCAGACAGTTTTCACTTGACCTCGACCTCATTTTATGGATCAGTGAACAAGGTTAAGATTTGGTGGTCAAGTCCATATCTCAGATACTATAAGCAATAGGTCTTGTATATTCGGTGTATGGAAGGACTGTAAGGTGTACATGTCCAACTGGCAGGTGTCATCTGACCTTGACCTCATTTTCATGGTTCAGTGGTTATAGTTAAGTTTTTGTGTTTTGGTCTGTTTTTCTTATACTGTATGCCATAGGTCTACTATATTTGGTGTATGGAATGATTGTAAGGTGTACATGTCTAGCGAGCAGGTGTCATTTGACCTTGACCTCATTTTCATGGTTCAGTGGTCAAAGTTAAGTTTTTGAGTTTTGGTCTTTTTTTCTAATACTATGTGCAATAGTTCAACTATATTTGGTATGTGCGTACCTTGCAAGGTCCTCATGCCCGTCAGACAGTTTTCACTTGACCTCGACCTCATTTCATGGATCAATGAACAAGGTTAAGTTTTGGTGGTCAAGTCCATATCTCAGATACTATAAGCAATAGGTCTAGTATATTCGGTGTATGGAAGGACTGTAAGGTGTACATGTCCAACTGGCAGGTGTCATCTGACCTTGGCCTCATTTTCATGGTTCAGTGGTTATAGTTAAGTTTTTGTGTTTTGGTCTGTATTTCTTGTACTGTATGCCATAGTTCTACTATATTTGGTGTATGGAATGATTGTAAGGTGTACATGTCTAGTGGGCAGGTGTCATCTGACCTTGACCTCATTTTCATGGTTCAGTGGTCAAAGTTAAGTTTTTTGAGTTTTGGTCTTTTTTCTAATACTATATGCAATAGTTCAACTATATTTGGTGTATGGAAATATTTTATGATCTATTTGGCAGTCACACAGGTTTTATTTAACCTTGACCTCATTTTCAAGGTTCATTGCTCAGTGTTAAGTTTTTGTGTTTTGGTCTGTTTTTCTTAAACTATAAGCAATAGGTCAACTATATTTGTTGTATTGAAGAATTGTTAGCTGTACATGCCTGCCTAGCATGGTTCATCTGACCTTGACCTCATTTTCATGGTTCATTGGTCAATGTTAAGGTTACTTGGTTAATGTTAAGTTTATGTGACAGTTGTAATAAAGCTTTATATTTAGGACTATCAACATAATATCAATGATTAGTAAAGAAGGCGAGACATTTCAGCGTGTGCACTCTTGTCTTATACTGTATGCCATAGGTCTACTATATTTGGTGTATGGATGATTGTAAGGTGTACATGTCTAGCGGGCAGGTGTCATCTGACCATGACCTCATTTTCATGGTTCAGTGGTCAAAGTTAAGTTTTTTGAGTTTTGGTCTTTTTTTCTAATACTATATGCAATAGTTCAACTATATTTGGTGTATGGAAATATTTTATGATCTATTTGGCAGTCACGCAGGTTTTATTTGACCTTGACCTCATTTTCATGGTTCATTGGTCAATGTTTAGTTTACTTGGTTAATGTTAAGTTTATGTGACAGTTGTAATAAAGCTTTATATTTAGGACTATAAACATAATATCAATGATTAGTAAAGAAGGCGAGACATTTCAGCGTGTGCACTCTTGTTTTATAAATTTCAGATTTACCATTTCCGAGTTTTGGGGTTTTATTCATTAAAAAAGGGGGGATTTTCCAGTTTTCGGACAATAACTCAAAAACAATTTCACCAATTTGCATGAAACTTTTGTGAATTGTTCATATCTATTGACGTGAGCTCCCTTTTGTTTTTTATAAATTTCGGATTTACCGTTTCCGAGTTTTGGGGTTTTATTCATTAAAAAAAGGGGTGATTTTCCAGTTTTCAGACAATCAAAAATGCTTTCAGCATTTTTGTCAAGCCTGCGATTTTTGTCGCAGAAAGCTCGACATAGGTATAGTGATCCGGTGGCGGCGGCAGCGTTAGCTAACTTCTTAAAAGCTTTATATTTTGGAAGGGAAGGTGGAAGACCTGGATGCTTCATACGTTGTATATAGATGCCTTATGTTACAAAGTTTCAATCTGTCACATGTCCATTGTCCTTGACTTCATTTTCATGGTTCAGTGACTACTTGAAAAAAAAGTTAAGAATTTTTGTAATGTTAATTTCTCTCTTATTATGAGTTGTAGGATAACTATATTTGGTATGTGCGTACATTGCAAGGTCCTCATGCCCGTCAGACAGTTTTCACTTGACCTCAACCTCGTTTCATGGATCAGTGAACAAGGTTAAGTTTTGGTGGTCAAGTCCATATCTCAGATACTAGAAGCAATAGGTCTAGCATATTTGGTGTATGGAAGGACTGTAAGGTGTACATGTCCAACTGGCAGGTGTCATCTGACCTTGACCTCATTTTCATGGTTCAGTGGTTATAGTTAAGTTTTTGTGTTTTGGTCTGTTTTTCTTATACTGTATGCAATAGGTCTACTATATTTGGTGTATGGAATGATTGTAAGGTGTACATGTCTAGCTGGCAGGTGTCTTCTGACCTTGACCTCATTTTCATGGTTCAGTGGTCAAAGTTAAGTTTTTGAGTTTTGGTCTTTTTTTCTAATACTATATGTAATAGGTCATCTATATTTGGTGTATGGAAATATTTTATGATGTACATGTCAGTCTTGCAGGTTTTATTTGACCTTGACCTCATTTTCATGGTTCATTGCTCAGTGTTAAGTTTTTATACGACCGCAAAAAAATTTTTGTGGTCGTATATTGGTATGACGTTGGCGTCGTCGTCGTCCGGCGTCGGCGTCGTCCGAAGACACATTGGTTTTCGCACTCTAACTTTAGTTTAAGTAAATGGATCTTTATGAAATTTTACCACAAGGTTCAATACCACAAAAGGAAGGTTGGGATTGATTTTGGGGGTTATGGTAATAACAGTAAAGGAATTAGGGGCCAAAAATAAGCATTTTTGTAACTTCCAGACATAACTTGTGTGTTAGTGTATGGATCTCTCTGACATTGTACCACAAGGTTCCATATCACTAAAGGAATGCTGGGATTGATTTTGGGGGTAATTGCCTCCAAATTTTAGGAATTAGGGGCAAAAAAAGGGGCAAAAAACAAGAATTTTTCTAGTTTCATGACAATAACTTGTGTGTAAGTGTATGGATCTTTCTGAAATTGTACTACAAGGTTCCATATCACAAAGGGAAAGCTGGGTTTTGAGTTTGGGGGTAATTGCCCTAAACTTTTAGGAATTTGGGGCCAAAAAGGGGCCAAAAAAACACATTTTTTTCTAGTTTCCAGACAATAACTTGTGTTCAAGTGTATGGATCTCTCTGAAATTGTACTGCAAGGTACCATACCACAAAGGGAAGGCTGGGATTGAGTTTGGGGGTGATGAATCATAATGGGGGTCCAAAAAATTTTGGGGGGGGGGGGGGGGGGATTTATTTTTTTTTCATTTTTTTTCTTTTTTTCCTTTTTTGTTTCTTTTAAAATTTTCCATTTTAAGTTGGTTATTTCTGATTTATATTTAAAATCAAATAATAATGATATGGTAGGAGATACACACCAAACAGGATGTGTAAATTATTATATAATAAGTATTGTGCAATAGCAAGAAATTTTCAATTGCACAGTATTGCACAATAGCAAGAAATCTTCAATTGCACAGTATTGCGCAATAGCAAGAAATCTTCAATTGCACAGTATTGCGCAATAGCAAGAAATATCCAATAGCACAATATTGCGCAATAGCAAGAAATTGTCAATTGTACAGTATTGCGCAATAGCAAGAAATATTTAATAGCACAGGATTGTGCAAAAGAAGATACTTCCTATAAATTGCTTATTTCTTGACCAATTTCAATGGGGTTTTATTCTTGATTTCATGGGGTTCTTTAATATGCTGAATCTAACCGTGTATTTAGTTTTTGGATTTTGGGCCCGTTTTTAAATTGGTCCACATTGAGGTCCAAAGGGTCCAAAATTAAACTTTGTTTGATTTCATCAAAAATTGAATTATTGGGGTTCTTTGATATGCTGAATCTAAACATGTATTTAGATTTTTGATTATGGGCCCAGTTTTCAAGTTGGTCCAAATCGGGGTCCAAAATTAAACTTTGTTTGATTTCAACAAAAATTGAATATATGGGGTTCTTTGATATGCTGAATCTAACCATGTATTTAGATTTTTGATTTTTGGGCCCCGTTATCAACTTTGTCCACATTGAGGTCAAAAGGGTCCAAAATTAAACTTTGTTTGATTTCATCAAAAATTGAATTATTGGGGTTCTTTGATATGCTGAATCTAACAATGTATTTAGATTTTGGATATTGGACCATAATAGGTGAATGTCCAATTTAAAATTTTTAAGTTCTTAGACCACATTCAATCTGTGTAAGAAACCTATGCTGTGTCAAATATTTAATCACAATCCAAATCCAAAGCTGTATCAAGCTTGAATGTTGTGTCCATACTTCCCCCAACTGTTCAGGGTTCGACCTCTGCGGTCGTATCAAGCTGCGCCCTGCGGAGCATTTTATTGTGTTTTGGTCTGTTTTTCTAATACTATAAGCAATAGGTCGACTATATTTGTTGTATGGAAGGATTGCAAGCTGTACATGTCTGCCTGGCATGGTTCATCTGACCTTGACCTCATTTTCATGGTTCATTGGTCAATGTTTAGTTTTCTTGGTTAAGTCTGTATCTTAGAAACTACAAACAATAGGTCAATAATATTTAGTGTATTGAATGATTGTAAGGTGTACATGTATTTCTTGTCGGGTTTATATGACCTTGACCTCATTTTCTTGGATCATGTCAAGTGTATGTGATAGTTGTAGTAAAGCTTTATATTTAGGACTATCAACATAATATCAATGATTAGTAAAGAAGGCGAGACATTTCAGCGTGTGCACTCTTGTTTATGAAACTTTGGTAAATTGTTTATATCTATTTTTGTAAGCTCCCTTTTGATTTTTATAAATTTTTGATTTTACGTTTTTGAGTTATAAGATTTTATTTGTTTATAGTCTGACAACAGATTTACAAAGTATTGCACAACAGCACAGTGTATTGCACAACAGCAAGAAATCTTTCATATAACCAATTTCAAGTTCTTTGACTACATTTATTCAGAAACCTATAATATATCAAATATTTAATTACAATCCAAATTCAGACCTTTATCAAGCTTGAATATTGTGTCCATTTTTGCCCCAACTGTTCAGGGTTGGACCTCTGCGGGCGTATCCAGCTGCGCTCAGCAAAGCATGTATATTTTAATTTGTTGAACTTGGTTTACAGATCCACAAAAAATTTAAAATTGAAATTTCATACTTTTTTTTATTCCCACCTTCTTTATCAAATTCATTATCCCTGAAATATAAATAAAAATATCTTGGTAGCTGCATTTAGAGATTGAAAAGCTCCATGTGATGATTGGAGTGAACCTGGACCTGAGTTTATTTTCTGCAAATAGCAATGATAATGCATGCATTGTCATATATCAATGAGATTTCACTAGGTTCTTGTATGGTTTATCACTATTCATCCACATATGGGTCAAATGTTTGTCACTTTTTTCATGACAGAATTTGTCTTTCAGACATATCTAGTTTGATTAAAGTAAATGTTTTATTTGTAGGCACCTGATTATTATGAAATTATTAAACATCCAATGGACTTAGGAACAATGATGTCAAAAATAGATCTACATCGCTATCAAACTGCCAAGTCATTTCTTGATGATGTAAGCCGTATATGCCTGAATGCCTTGGAATATAACCCAGATAAAACTCCTGCAGGTTAGTATAAATTGTCTGAACGAAGTTTTTAGTTGGTATACCAATGGTGTCTACAGTAACCTAAGTGACAAGTCTTTTACAGTCCAGGTTTAGCTAAACCCTGAAAGGTCATATTTAATTATTTTTAAATTATGATAGTGTATATTTTCAAAATAAGTTGGTTTCAAAAATTTTTGTTTCCCATCACAGTGCAAAGCTATTAGTTTCAGTGGATAAACATGCCATCTTGAAATGATTACAAAACAATTGTTACTTCTGATTGGTTGCATATTGATTCTATTGGCTTGAATGAGTTATTGGGAACACATCAAGAACTTGACAAGACATTTTTATATATACAGTATGTGTATTCGATACCCGTTGATGAATATGTTGCCTTAGGATCACATATTATGGGATATAGTCAAAATTGATATGTTTCTAATTAAGCATTTTAATTAGTATAACACTCGCTTTATTTCCTATATATGATGTTTTTTAGCTCACCTTGCCCGAAGGGCCAAGTGAGCTTTTCTCATCACTTGGCGTCCGTCGTCGTTAGCTTTTTACAAAAATCTTCTCTGAAACCACTGGGCCAAATTTAACCAAACTTGGCCACAATCATCATTAGGGTATCTAGTTTAAAAAATATGTCTGATGACCCCGCCAACCAACCAAGATGGCAGCCATGGCTAAAAATAGAACATAGAGGTAAAATGTAAATTTTGGCTTATATCTCTGAAACCAAAGCATTTAGAGCAAATCTGACAAAGGGGAAAACTGATTATCAGGTCAAGATCTCTCTACCCTGAAATTTTCAGACGAATCTGACAACCCGTTGTTGGGTTGCTGCCCCTGAGTTAGTAATTTTACAGAAATTTTACGTTTTTTTGTTATTATCTTAGATATCATTATAATATCTAATATCTAATACTATTAATTATGATTTTAACCTTATTTTACATGATTTCCAAAGCATCTGTGAATACAGGTGAGGGACACTGGCTCTTGAGAGCCTCTAGTTTACTTCACACTCAATGACTTGATTTAGCCATTTTATTAGCAAAATTTGGATATTTCAATTCAAAGTAGTACAGGTTTAAAAAAATGTATATCTTGTCTTTTCATATGAAAAGGTTTTTTTAATTTTTAACTCACCTGGCCAGAAGGGCCAAGTGAGCTTTTCTCATCACTTGGCGTCCGTCGTCCGTTGTCGTCGTCATTAGCTTTTTACAAAAATCTTCTCCTCTGAAACCACTGGGCCAAATTTAACCAAACTTGGCCACAATCATCATTAGGGTATCTAGTTTAAAAAAATGTGTCCGATGACCCTGCCAACCAACCAAGATGGCCGCCATGGCTAAAAATAGAACATAGGGGTAAAATGTAGATTTTGGCTTATATCTCTGAAACCAAAGCATTTAGAGTAAATCTGACATGAGTAAAATTGATTAGCAAGTCAAGATCTATCTGCCCTGAAATTTTCAGACAAATCTGACAACCTGTTGTTGGGTTGCTGCCCCTGAATTGGTAATTTTAAGGAAATTTTGCAGTTTTTGGTTATTATCTTGAATATTATTATAGATAGAGATAAACTGTAAACAGCAATAATGTTAAGCAAAGTAAGATCTACAAATAAGTTGTCATGACCAAAATTGTCAGTCGACCCCTTTAGGAGTTATTGCCCTTAATAGTCAATTTTTAACAATTTTTTGTAAATTTTTGTAATCTTTTACAAAAATCTTCTTCTCTGAAACTCTTGAGACAAATTTAACCATACTTGGCAATAATCATTATAGGGTATCTAGTTTAAAAAGTTTGTCTGATGACCCTGATTTCCAACCATCATGGCCGACTTGGTTAAAAATAGAACATAGGGGTAAAATGCAGTTTTTGGTTTATATCTCTGAAACTAAAGCATTTAGAGCAAATCTGACAGGTGGCAAAAATGTTCATCAGATTTAGATTTATCTGCCCTGAAATTTTCAGAAGAATCTGACAACACGTTGTTGGGTTGCTGCCCCTGAGTTAGTAATTTTACAAAAATTTTGCAGTTTTTTGTTATTATCATAGATATCATTATAATATCTAATATCTAATACTATTAATTATGATTTTAACCTTATTTTACATGATTTCCAAAGCATCAGTAAATACAGGTGAGCGACACAGGCTCTTGAGAGCCTCTAGTTTATTTATAATATAATAGATTGTTCTAACAAACATGTATTTTGATGATGATTCTATACCTCCTACAATTAAATGTAATGTATTATGAATAAAAGGAGATAGAGAGTATATTTCAAAAAGACAGCAACCCAACAAAAAAAAAAACCTAAAACAAAAAGACATTGACAGGTCAATATATGGTCTTCTTCAGTAGATAAAGTCTTGACCATAAATCTAGCTAGAAATCATCCAAGTGTAGAAATTGTGAATAAATTTAATACAGACTACCAAAGATTACTATCAACTCGAAATTATCAAAAAGAAAAAACACAAAAGATATAACTAGAGACAATAAATGACAAGTACCTGGGATAAGCACATTATGGGAAGTTGATAAAATTGACTCTTGTTAGTAATATGTTTCTTTTTTGTTGTTACCTAAGTAACCTAACCATCTTCCTGTTTATCTCAATCCTTAGAATAATAAAATGTACATAGAGCAGCATACAACATAATCAATTCAGAAAAAAACTCCACAGTACAGACATCAATACTGTATCAAATACTCTATCATTCCACATCAGAGAATCCATACAGTTAGAAAAAGCAATATTTATCTGGTACTACAATATTGTGATACTTTTTATAGTTCCTATAAAGTTCTCCTTACTGGTTGCTGAAAACCAATAGCTCACAATACATCTTGTTAATTTTAATTTGTTGTGCTGGTGTTTAGTAATTAGTCATTGATTTTCATTGCCTGAATGCAAGATATAGGGATGCTAATCCAGCAGCAGCAGCAGCAGTGTCCACAAAGGCATAAACTCCTAGTAAAAAGCTTTAGATTTCAGATGCTAAACAACTGGATAATTTTCATCTTGAATACATATACATTGTTGTGGGAAATTTCTGTCTGGCGTGTGTCAGTTGTCTTTGACCTCATTTTCGTTGTCCAGTGACTGCTTATAATAACTCATCAAAGATAAATGTTTATCACGTGACTTTTTTAAGTCATTATAAATAAAAGGACAACTATATTTGGTTTAAAAAATCGTTTCAAGATATAGATTTCAAGCAGACAGGGTTCATTTGACCTGACCTCCTTTCATGGTTCAGTGGTCACAGTTAAGTTTTCATGATTAGATCTATTTTTAAGATTCTTTAAGCAGTAGCTCAACTATGTGTGGTGAACAGAATAATTGAAAGGTAATCATGTACATCTGGTAAGGTTGACCTTGACTTTATTTATATGCTTCATTGATCAATGTTAAGTTTTTGTGATGAGATCCATTTCTTAGATACTATAAACAATATAGCAACTGTTTTTGGTATAAAGAATGATTGTTAGATGTATATGTCTGTCTAAAAGGATTCACCTGACCATCACCATATTTCATGGATCAGTGATAATGTTTATTTTATTTGATACAAGGTCTGCAGTAAGATAATGATAAGTAATTCAGGCAAGTCATTTCAGTGTTTGCACTTTTGTTTATTTTATTACAATGCAGTTGTAAGATCCAGCACCTCATGATTGCTTCAGTAACCTCTTTTTCTTTATGCAGACATATTAGGTAGAACTTGTTGCAATTGCATGTGGAAAATATTTATCAAAATCAATTGTTGAAATTCATATTTATCAAAGGTCGAGCAATTAGACATAGAGCTTGTGCTTTGAAGGATACAGCAGAGGCAATACTAAAAGTAGAACTTGATCCTGAGTTTGAGGCACAGTGTCAAGAACTGGTAGATTCAAGAAAGAATAGAGGTAGGTTCTTTAATATGACCTATATCAAATTAACAAAGCAGCACACAGTGACACAGCTCTTAATTTAATATTCAAGAAAGATTCTAATATGCCCATAAAACAGAGTTGTAGTTTTTGTCGCAGAAAGCTCGACATAGGGATAGTCATCCGGCAGCTACAGCGGCGGCGGCGTTAGCTAACTTCTTAAAAGCTTTTATATTTTAGAAGGTGGAAGATCTGGATGCTTCATACTTTGTATATGGATGCCTCATCTTACGAAGTTTCCGTCAGTCACATGTCCAATGTCCTTGACCTCATTTTCATGGTTTAGTGACTACTTGAAAAAAAAGTTCAGATTTTTTGTAATGTTAAATTCTCTCTTATTATAAGTAATAGGATAACTATGCCCGTCAGACTGTTTTCACTTGACCTCGACCTCATTTCATGGATCAGTGAACAAGGTTAAGTTTTGGTGGTCAAGTCCATATCTCAGATACTATAAGCAATAGGTCTAGTATATTCGGTGTATGGAAGGACTGTAAGGTGTACATGTCCAACTGGCAGGTGTCATCTGACCTAGACCTCATTTTCATGGTTCAGTGGTTATAGTTAAGTTTTTGTGTTTTGTTCTGTTTTTCTTATACTGTGATTATGCAATAGGTCTACTATATTTAAGTCTCCCAAACGAAGTTTGGGAAGACTTATTGTTTTTGCTCAGTTCTTATTATTATTATTATTCTTCTTCCTCTTCCTCTTCCGCCGCTTTTAAATTTGAACTTGTCCGCACCCGTTCTCCAAAACCACTTGTCAGATTAACTTAGGGTTTCACAATATGTTAGACTAACATGTCTAGTGGTGCAATCAGGGTTTTGTTTGTGCAATGGGGTTTATAAAGGGGTACTTTGAGGGGCAAAAAGAAAAAAGGGTTTTACTATAGAACCCTATGGGATTTTATTTTTTTAAATTTTCAAATGATTATAAATTGAAAACCTTTTGTGATAGACACAATTTTTTTTAATTGAAAATGTTCTAAATGATAAAACCCATTAAATGAAATACAGGGTTAGTCCCCAGGGGTCACCCCCACCCCCTGCCATTTAAGAAAGTTCTAATACCTTGTAAGTGGTCCAGATCCCCACCCCTAAACCATATATATTCTGGTTTGTCATGCTAAGATGGTTTGAATGATATACAGGGTTAGTCCCCAGGGGTCATCCTGACCCCCTGCCATTTGAGAAAGTTCTAATATCTTGTAAATGGTCAAGATCCCCACCCCTAAACCATATATATTCCGGTTTGTCATGATAAAGCACATGAAATGAAATACAAGGTTAGTCCCCAGGGGTCATCCCGACCCCCTGGCATTTGAGAAAGTTCTAATATCTTGTAAATGGTCGAGATCCCCACCCCTAAACCATATATATTCTGGTTTGTCATGCTAAGATGGTTTGAATGATATACAGGGTTAGTCCCCAGGAGTCATCCCGACCCCCTGCCATTTGAGAAAGTTCTAATATCTTGTAAATGGTCGAGATCCCCACCCCTAAACCATATATATTCTGGTTTGTCATCATAAAGCAAATCAAATGAAATACAGGGTTAGTCCCCAGGGGTCACCCCCACCCTATGCCATTTAAGAAAGTTCTAATATCTTGTAAGTGGTCAAGATCCCCACCCCTAAACCATATATATTCTGGTTTGTCATGCCAAGATGATTTGAATTATATACAGGGTTAGTCCCCAGGCATCACTAATGCATATAACTTTACTGGACCAAACCAATTTTCACTGGACTTTGCCCAATGTCAGGCGACCCTGGGAATTACAAATTATGGGAGCTTTGTTTGGGAGACTTCGTAACAGCATCCTGTTACAATCATTTCTTGTTTGGTGTATGGAATGATTGTAAGGTGTACACGTCTAGCTGGCAGGTGTCATCTGACCTTGACCTCATTTTCATGGTTCAGTGGTCAAAGTAAAGTTTTTGAGTTTTGGTCTTTTTTCTAATACTATATGCAATAGTTCAACTATATTTGGTGTATGGAAATATTTTATGATCTATATGTCAGTCACACAGGTTTTATTTGACCTTGACCTCATTTTCATGGTTCATTGGTCAATGTTTAGTTTACTTGGTTAATGTTAAGGTTATGTGACAGTTGTAATAAAGCTTTATATTTAGGACTATCAACATAATATCAATGATTAGTAAAGAAGGCGAGACATTTCAGCGTGTGCACTCTTGTGTGTATAATTTGTGGGAAAAAATGCTAAACATAGGTTAACATCTAAATGACGGGTCAGCTTCTGTTACAAATGGAAGCAGCACAATGCACAATAAATGTTTAAAATGAGAACAAATAAAAAGGATGTTTTTCTGGCCTATGATATCTGTCTCGTAGAAGAAAAAAAGATATAAAACTAAGTGTAATATTTTCATTTTTGACAAAGCTTGTAAGATATATTAGAATATAACTAACACAGAAAGTGCAAGAATGAAAAATCTCAAGACATTAAGTGACTTTGGGTTGAGATTTCCAATCTCTTGACAAGCCTTGTCTAGTTGAAGATCACCTGGAAATGTTACTCAAGGGCAGCAAAGGTTTCATGGTTCCTTGATCAGTTTTTCTGTTTTGGGTATTTTATTTATTTTTTCATGTGCATCATATAGGATTCACCTCAACTTGAACCTATTTTCATGGACCGTTTGTCTACATAATTACATGATTGCCATACAAACTTGAGTATAAGTTGATACACTTGACTTTCCTATTATAATGAAAGATTGGTTTGCATAGCCTATTTTGTAATTTACTGTAATGTTTCATTATTTCCAATAATGTTGCTTTTTTTTATTTTGCTTTATTGGTTTATAGATAGTGATTTTTTTAGTTATTGAACTACCAAATACAAGCAATGCAAAAATGAGTGTCAATAATTTTGAACCAATTGCTGGTAATTGAAGAAATAAACACATCCATATTTAACACTTTAAAATTTTTTCCCTATTGAAATCAATATTTAAAATAAAAACTTCACACACCTAATAAAGAAAGACCAAAGGGACACTTGTTACTTGTTTAAGATTTTTTACTTAGAAATCTGATGATCAGTTTAGTTGTACAATTAATTATAGTGATCATGGTGATGACATGATTCTCGAAATATTATACTGACATGAAGCTAAAAGAATTGACAAGTCATTTCAAGAAAACTAACAGACACCACATAGGTTTAAGAGATCTGTCCTAATTTTATTATATTTTTTTGTTTTGTACACTAATATCAACAACATTTCAATTTATCAGGTATTATAAAGTAGTTGGTCAACTATATTCATAGAAACACTGTATTTATGACAGAACTTGACCTCATTTTCATGGTTCTGTAACTTACATTCAGCTTAGCGATTTAAATCAGTTTTTAAATTACTTTAAAAGATAGTTGTGGTATTATAGTAATTATGTTATATATGCAATGCATCTTTGTAAGATTGATCCTGACATCATAGACTTTTGATAAATTATTTATGCTGGCAAGATATTCCATAATGTCAATTCTCATGTACATGTATTTTCTTTTACAATGTATGTCATGTCAGAATAATGTTTTTAACTTGTGACTCCATATGTTGAAATAGTGTGCTTGTCTTTTTGTCTTTTAGAAATTGTACCAAAAAAATTAAGTGTCTTTAAGTGTATTTAAAAATTAAAAAAAAAATCCTTTTATATTCAAGGGCAGATTATTATATTGAATTTGATAGAACAATTTGTGTTTTTTTTATTTTTGAAGAAAATAAGGCCAGTGGCCCCTATTTTATTTGATATTTGGGAAGTGTTTATGAAAAGCAATTCTCTCATTGAAATTCAAACCAATCCTATCGTTTAACGTTTCCTCAAGAAGGAAAATTTAAATTTCCCCTGTATAACCCATATAAAATAACTTTTTAACGAAAGAACGAGATCAATTTATATATTGAAATTTGAAAGTACATTTAACCAGAAGTCAATTACAGAAATTTAAGAAAAATCTATCGTCAAACATGTAGACACCCCTGTTACCTTAAGTTTTATCAATAAGCATTTTGTCACTTTTCATGTTTTCAGTTTGTCTTTAGTAATGACCATGGCTAAGATACTACTTTTTTCTTACCTTTAGAGATTATCTTTTATTTGCTTTTAGGTATAGATCCACAACAATCTGCCCCAAATTTTTACCATACAAAACCATTGCAATCCACATCTACATCTTATAAGCCATTCACAACTAATCCTGATAGTAGATCGAGAACAAGTCGTAGGTTGAGAGGGTTGGATATAGAAAACACGTCTCCTTTAGAACTAGTAGAAAAACAATGGTCTGTTGAAAAAAGTGTAAGAAAGGCCTCACCAGAAAAGTCACCGGAAAAAGGAGACAATTCTGCAAGTGAAAGTGAAGCAATAATAAAACAGCTTACATCTTCAAAAAAGAAACAACAGCATTCTTGTAGAAAAGCAAATTCAGGTGATGACTGTTCTAGAGCAGTTAAAAAACCACATGCTAAAAAAGATATATGGAGTAGTTCCGGTTACAGATCGAGGAGGAAAAAAAGAAATCCATTATCTGCATCACCAAGTAAAGATTCACAGTTTTCTGATTCAGGAGTGAAGGACTCAAGATTTTCAGATACAGATGACTATGATGTGTCTGAAGTAATTGCTAATCGCAACTTATCACCGTCTTCAAAAATCTCAGGGAAATCACCTGAACAGGAGGAAAAATCTTCAGGGAGAAGGAACTCTGTGTCCTCAACAGGGAGACGAAGCTCAATATCAAGTAGATCTCGTGACCGTTCAAAAGACCGGTTTGATTCACCTCATCGTCAGTCTTCATCAAAATCACCAACACGAAACACATCAGGGAAATCATCAGATAGAAGGAGATCTAAATCACCTGATCGACAATCATCATCAAAAGAAACAAGTGGACATCCCACTCTAAAAAAACATACAACATCATCTCTGAAAGGTGGTGAGAAGCACTTAGAATTATCTGTAGTTGTAGAAAACATATCGCCAAATAAGTCAGGGAAAATGTCACCGAGGGTAGGTACATCTAAACCAATGGAGACAGACAGTGGAATCAGTAGTTCCGTTGATAGTAATGGAGATTCTGTTGATAGTGTTGAACATGCCAAGTTATTAGCCAGTCAGGTAAAACTTTTGAATTTTTCAACCTCTGTCCAAACAGAACATCCATCTTCATAAAATGTATCACTGGATATGGTTTCATTTGCATTATTTTTCCTGTTTGAGTGTTCTGCTCTTGCCTGCCATCATTTCATAACGAAATAATTTTTTTTTTAATTTCACCTAGCCCTGAGGTATCGCTATTCTTGGAGGACATTACATTTGGGAATTCGGGGGATTAATTTTATTTCAATTGCACGCAACATTTTATTACAGTTGCATGCTTTCATTTTACAGTTAGCGCAGGAAAATGTAAGAATAATTAAGAATCAATATATATATTGAAAAGTTTTTGTTTTGAATATTGAACAAAATGTTTTCATATTTTTCATATTGAGGTAACACATCCTGATCATTTCATCAATTATATTAAATGGCCCTAAGAAAGCCTGTTGCACGGCTATCATACCTTACAGTGGAATCATTGCGATCGGATCGTGAAAGGATCTGGTATCGGATTGTAAATGTAACTAATTGTAGTTCTGCTTCAAAATCTGCTGTATTTTCAAAATGCGGAACAAACCGGAAAAAAAAATTATGTGTCTGTCAAAATGATTCAACTTTCTCAATAATACTGTACAATAAGATAAAGAAAATATGCAGGGGCTCTTTTCACAAAAAATGTTCGTAAGTCATGAGCATTTCAGTATAACTTACGATCAATTTTAATCGTAAGATTTTTTGTGAAAAGAGTCGCAGTCCTTTATGAGAAAGCACAAAAAGCGCAACACAAGTCTACAGGATTTATTAAAAAAAAAAAAAACATGTTTTGTACCTATAATGGTCACATTCCAATATATAATGATATATTTGAAACTGAATCTTTGGTGCGTCAGATAGTACAGTAAAAAACAAGTTTTTTTTTTCCTTGAACCGTTCATTTTGTTTTTAAAAACATTGAATTTTGTTGATTTTTTCATCAAAATTGATTATGAAAGATCAGGCTGATCCGAAAAATCAATTTTTTGTAAATATTTCATTTTTTGCAAAATTTCTGATTATGTTAACACAAAGTAACTTTAACATGTTTAAGAACCATTTGAATCATTAAAATGGAATGACATTTTACAAAGAAAAGTTGTTTAGTCAGTCGTATTATGAAAAAAAATCTTGTTTGTTTACATATTTAATGTCATTGAAATGTCGAGGAGCAATCTGTCTTTTGTAGTTTTGTAAAAACGGTGTACTTTTAAACCTTGATTTTTCTAAGACACTGATCATAATGTTGAACCATTTTGACAGACGATTTTATTTTTTTGTAAATTTGTCCTTATAATTCATTAAATTAGATAAGTAATTGACATTGCGTATGTCTTCTCTATAAGATTTCATTCACGATCCTATACCAGAGCTTTCACGATCCAAACGCAATACTTGACCACCGTTAGGTATTCTTTCACGATATTTTTTCTCGATAACCGAATGACACCCGTGTGTTAGTTACTAGTAAGTTAAGTCAGTTTGGAACATTGTGTCAAGACACATAAGTTTAATATGACTAGTTGTATCGCCTTGACGGAGTCAAAGAGGGAGACATAGGTATGCTGTTTCTAGCTTCGGTGGCGTCAACAATGTATTAGTTTGTGATTAGGTCTAGTTTATGGTGAATGACAAGTGGTAGGTCAATGATATTTAGTATCGGTTGTATTAGCATTGGCACATCTCATTTCCATGGAGATTATTTGGCCCTGCTCCCTCAGTCATGGTCTATTGACTTTGAAACTTTTGCTTAGTTTACATGTATTAGTTTGTAATTAGGTCAGTTTATGGGGAACCACTAGTGGTAGGTCAATGATATTTGGTATGCAGTTGTATAAGCATTGGCATATCTCATTTCCATGGAGATTATTTGACTCTGCCCCCATAGTCAAGGTCTATTAACTTTGAAATTTTTTCTTAGTTTACATGTATTAGTTAGTGATAAGATCAGTTTAAGATGAACTGTTAATGTTAAGTCAATGATATTTGGTATGCAAATTTATTGGCATTTGCAAGTATCGTTTCCATTGAGATTATATAGCCCCACCCCCTCATCATGGTTCATTGACTTTGAAACTTTTACATAGTTTACTAGTTAATGTTTGTGTTTAGGTTTGATTAAAGGGAATGACTTATAATAAGTCAATGGTATTTGGTATGCAGTTGTATTAGCATTGGCACATCTCATTTCCATGGAGATTGTTTAGCCCTGTACCTTCAGTCATGGTTCATTGACTTTGAATATTTGCATAACTAACATGTTAAAGTATTCCTATTTTAATTTCAACATTTGCATTATCAAAAAAACAAATAGGCGAGACATATCTCTGTGTTAACAGTTTATTTAAAAAAGATTCAGCAATCATCTGAAAACTTGTATCTAAAAAAATATCTATCATGTAAATTTCTTTGAAGGATATAAACAGGTTTATTACTTAAAAAGAATAAATACTATTTTGCTTAAATCTTTTAGGTCGAAAGTAAACGAGCAACTTAATAAAGAATGATCAATGTTTTGTACTTAGATGGAGACTATGTACTTGTATATATCTAAAATATCTTCTCCAACAAAATATCTCAAAAGTGTATAAGTAACAAATCAATGTAAAACTAAGTTTTATGTCCAATTTCGGTTCTCAAATATAACGTAAAATTTATCACAAGATAAAATCTTTTGAATTTTCTTTATTTAAATAAAAAGTCCAATAAATAAATGATTTCCTGTACAACATTTTTATAATGATTAAATTTTATTTAATTTCTTTTTGAAATTAGTGACAATACAGTTAAACATTAAGCAAGCAGCAATCAATCAATCGATCATAAAGTTAACAATAGTAGTTAAAGCAAAGTATAGCTAAACAGGACAAGGTAAAAACAACAAAAAGTTATGCATTTCTTGTTCCACTTGGACAAGCAATAACAGTCGTTTGATTTTTGTCGAGCCTGCAACATTTATGTCGTGAAAGGAAGACATAGCAATCCTACATTCCAGCGATGGCGGCGCTAACATTTAGGTTCAGTCTGTGGTTAAAGTTTTTTTAGAAATCAATAACTTTGTCAAACCTTCATGGGATTTTATAAAATTTGGACAGAAGCTTGGACCAAAAGACAGTATCCAGAGCAAAATTTTGAAAAAAATTATTTTCATTTTTCATTATTTTACTGATAAATCATAAAAATGGACTTAGTATTTTTTACAGTTAACATTCAGATTAAGTTAAAGTTTTTTCAGCCATCCATAACTTTGTCAAACCTTCATGAGATTTTAAGAAATTTGAACAGAAGCTTGTTTATGACCAAAAGACGATATCCAGAGCAAAATTTTGAAAATATTTTATTTTCATTTTTCCATATTTCACTGATAAACAGACTTAGTTTTTTTTAAAGTTAACAAGTAGATACAGTCTGGGGTTACAGTTTGTTACACATCAATTACTTTGTCAAACCTTCATAAAATTTTATGAAACTTTGGCAGAAGCTTTTTTATGATTAAGAGATGTCTGAAGAAAACTTTTGAAAATGTTTTTTTTTCATTTTCAGTATTTTTCTGATTGATGGACTTTGTTTTTTACAGTTAACATTTACACACAGTCTTGGATTAAACTTTTTTGACATAAATTTGTAAACTTTCATGGATTGTTCTGAATTTTGGACAGAAGCTAATCTTCCAAGAACATGAAATATCATCGAAAGAAAAATATTGATTTTTTTTTTTAAATTCTGTATTTTACTGATAAATGGACTCACTTTTTAAGTCAACATTTCACTTTTACACTCACAGCAGCATTCGGAGGCGAGACACAGGGTTCCGTTGAACCCCTTACAAATTTTTATATAGGGAGGGATCTTGAAATTTAACACTATTAATATGCTTATCATAAAAGTTACAACAAAATATGGGATGGTTGAGCAACAGGAAACACAGTTTTTATTTTGCTTTACAAGTTTAATGATGGTCTTATTATGTACATGTATTATTTTTTTTTTAGAAATTAAATACATCTCAGGAAGGTGCTACCTCAAAGCAAGACAGTGAAGATGAGAAAGGTTTGTAAGAAAAAAAGCTTTATTAGTTTTAATATCTACCATATGTAATAAAAGTAAGGCATCTTGATCACTTTAGTTGCCACTGCTACAAAATGAATGAGGTTTAAATTGAGGAACAAATATGGGAATGTCACATATATATCTATGATTTTGAAATGAAACTATTACTGAAAAGGGGTCGGGGTGTTAATATCACATTATCCCACCATAGTGTACATTATGTTCAACCACTTTGGGTTCTTTTCCATCAGTGACGTTGACATTAAAAGGGACCCCCATTCACAGACCTTTAGGTGCTGAGGAATTAATATTGGAATTTTCTGTGTATTATGTTATCTGTAATAGAAATAAATGGGTTTTCTTTTAATTAAAAGCATTGAACAACATTTTCTAGCTTGAAACGGGTCTGAAAACCTTCCCCCACTGGCACCGATGAGTAATTTCATTATTCTGGTGACCTTGAAATTTATCTAGTAACAACATATTTTAAGAAAAGTCTATGGATTTGTTGTTTAATATGGAAGAGTTAAATTGACAGCTTTTAGATTGCTATCCACAGATTTTACAGTTTCTTAGTCCCTAAAGTAATTGGTCATCTGTTTTTGGTATGTAAAATTATTGTAAGTTGTAAATGTCAGTTTGACAGTGTTTAGATCATGTACTTTATAGAACAGCTAATATGTGAATAAATATCAAGGTAGAAAAAATCATTCAGAACGTTAGTAATGTTTTGTACTTTTACAGCGACAGCAACATCACCTAAATTCAGAGCTACAAGGTCACGCCTACAAACAGAAGATCATGAGCATGCCTTACAGATTCTAGAGGAAGAAGCAGTGCCAGTTGTAGTTGACCTAGAACGTTTGAATAAACTTTTAGATAATACAGTTGCATTGACAAAGAACTACAGAATTGAGAAGTTAGAGAAATTGTACAGCCTTTATAGTAACTGTATATATTGCTATCGACAAGACTACGATAAAACTTTAATGATTGAAGTAAGTGATTTCTCCTATTTTATTCTTCCTGTATTACTGCTTATTTCATGCATATCATTTGAAAATAGATTGGTCTATCCTGCAATCAGCCAATTAATGTACAAATAACAGGTACACAAATAAATTTTTGCTTTATTTATACTTGTACAAATAAAGTCTCCTGTTACCTCGCTTCCATGTTGAGCAACTGTTAATGTGGATATTTCTTTTTCCCTACCAGTTCATTTTGGGGTTCTCTTCGCGGTTCGCGTTTTAACTATGTCGATTTCTTTGAAAAATTAGAGACAATGATTTAGATTTGAATAACTAAAGTGTTGGGAGTAAATTGCAGGATAAAAACAATAAGTCAATATATGTACATTGTCGGAAAATATAAAATGTATTTGTACTCGCTGCGAAACAGGAGAAAAGTTTGGCGAGCCTCGCTTTTCGTCCTGTTTCTAAAGCTCATACAAATAACTTTTATATTTTCCGACAATGTACATATATTGTATATTTATCATACAATGATATATTGCTGAAAATGGCAATTATTACCATCAAACAAACAAGATACATCATAGCTTTTAAAAACAAACTGTATTTTATATGCTATAAAGTATGAATTAATGTATACCATTTTACATTAATCTAAGTGTCTATAATAGTTAAAAATAAGCACATTTCATCAGGAGTTCTAAATTGTCACATTTTTTTGTCTTGTCTATGACATACAGATGCTTATCCTGCTGCAATATCATTGAATTATTTGTTTAGAGCTTCATATTTCAGAAGTTAGACGACCTGGATGCTTCAAAACTGGTATACAGATGCATTATGTGACAAAGTTTTTTATGCATATGCCCATTGTCCTTGACCTAATTTAAGAATTAATTTAACTATCTCACTTATAAGTCAACTATATTTGTTGCTTAGAATCATTACAAGGTCTACATGACAAACAGGCATGGGTCACCTTACCTCTACCTTATTTCATAGGACAGTGATCAAGGTTAAGTTTTCATGGTCTAGTATCTCAGATACTAGATCAATAATATTTTGTTAATGGAATGACTGTTAGGTGAACAGGGTTCATCTGACCTTGTCCCCATTTTCATGGTTCATTGGTTGAAGTTCAGTTTCCTGGCTTTCTATGTTGTGCTTTGTAAATATCATTCAGTAATAATAAAACCACATCACGTAATGTCAGAGTATCACATATGACAGCTGTGGCATTCCATATTTTTCTTAATGATTTATATTGCCTTAGGGGCCTCTGTGGCAGAGTGGTCTAAGTAGTGGAACTACTGTATCACTAGCCTGTCAACACTGAGGCAGCGAGTTCGAATCCAGCACGGGGCAGGTGCACTGGACTCTAATCTTAATTGACTAGGATTGTTAGTTTTTCTACCGAAGGTCGGTGGTTCTCTCCGGGCACTCCGGCTTCCTCCACCAATGAAAACTGACTGCACGAAATAGCACAATAGTGTTGAAAGTGGCGTTAAACACCAATTAACCAATCAATCCTGGCTTGGTCTGATTCAAAGATACTTATAGCAATAGGTCAACTATATTTTGTGTTTAGGATTGATTGCAAGTTGTAAATTTCCATCTGACAGGGTTCACCTATAATCAAAAGGTCAACTATTTTTTGTAAATTTTGTTTCCAAACATGCACATTTTTTCTGTCATAAATGGGGGATATGAGAAGTACTTTCTGTAAAAACCATTTGGACCAGTTATAGGTACAGATGTAATATTGCACTTTTAGCTTAATTGAAATCACATGTCACACTCCAAAATTGCCAAATTTAGACAACACCACTCATGTTGTTTACATGTTTTCACATTAATCCTGGAAAGGAAGATTGTTTGTTTCAATCTATCCCTGAATGATCACAGTCGTCCATCAAAAACTTGATATGACATTGTGTTCTCTTTTGATTTTCAGATTTTTCAGAAATTTCATGTTAATGTTATATGCCAAACCCTATTTTTTACATGACAATGGTCAGGTTAAGCTTTCAGGAATATGTCTCTTTACAATAACTACACATGACAGGAGAAAAATATTTTAGGGCTGTCTTTAACAGTATATGTCAACCTGAATTTTTAGAAAGGTTTGTTGCTTGGTTACTTTCTATTTTATTTGTGTAGGATTTGGAATACAACTTGGAGGTGTGGGACTCTAATCGGAATTCAAAAATAATTCATTTAAAAAGATTGAGTAATAGTTCTTAGAATACTTGTAGGTGACATATGTATACAAAAATCGGCCAAATCTTATATTATTTTCTGTGACATCATCCATTTACTATATCTTTAGTTGGTCCTTATGACAGTAATTATTCTCAAAACAGCGTTTATTTTATTATTCAACTTGTTAAATTATATACTTTATTTTGTTTTAGGAGATGGAAAATATACTACAGAGACAGCTTGTTTGAGAGAAGTCTACGCTCAACTAGTATTTATAAAGATTGCTGGCTTTATATTCTAACTGTTAATGAAATTCATATAAGATTCAATTTATGATTGGATACTACTATTATATATTCTGTGCAGTATTTAAGAAGTTTATAACTAGTCCATATTTTTTTTAAAGGTGAAAAAAAGGCTCTCCGAGGAATTTAACTTTAGTGAAAAATTCTCTTGTAAGTTTTTTCCTTCATATTTTGACAAACTGATCTGTTTCCTGTTTGATGTGTTAAGTCATTGTGGACTTATAAAGAAAATCAATATCTGTATGTTGGTGGAATTGTTGTTTAATAATCGAATGAACTAGTACAAGTTCTTTCCACAAAACATAAGGTAGGGTTTTTTTTTTCATTTGTTGGTTTATGGATTTACCAACCTGATTTTTTCCAATTTTCAGAAGATAAAAAATTGTAGCATAATGCTTTTAAAAAAATATATCAGTATCTGTATTGAAAGAACTTTTTGAAAGACCACACATTTTAAGAGAACACTTCACACTGGCACAGCATTTTTGATATATATTTTTTATTAAACATGTTTTGAGAGACCGACTTATCACAATGTAACTATTTATTGTTACATTATTTACTCAGGACAATTTGTGACATGGTTGGAAAGATTTAAGAAATTGGAGAATGATATAGCAGTAAATATAGTAATTCATTCCCAAAAATTTGCATAATGGAAAAATACAATTACATGTAAGCAGTATTGTTTCATTTCAAAACTTGATTGAATTTTCATTATGCTACAAAATTGTAAATCAGCTGACTAGCCACACATTTTATATGAGCAATAAAAAAAAAATCTACAAAAAATCCCAAACATAAACAAAAATGGCAACAATAGGACCTTGAATTAAAAGTTACCTCCCTTTAAACCTATTAAAGCTCATTTAATCAGAACTGTTGTTAATATCCAATTGGATTTTTCTTTCCATTCATGTAATTGAAGATAGCTAAGTAATAGTTTGGATGTTTATTTGAAAAAATTCTGAATTATGAAAAATGACATTAAACAGAGGTTTATAAATTTTATTGACTGAACTAATCACTACTGAAGCCTACAGGAATTAGACTGTAAGGAAAGATAATGCAGTAGTGATGTTTACATATATTTCACTCAGATTTATATTCATTACCTTGATGATAGGATGTGATATTTATATATGTATTAAATAATGTGTCTGAAGAAGGTAATCCTACAAAAAAAAAATTAGGCTTCTGTGATCTAATTTTTTGTTCACAATTTATTCTTATGTCCATATCTGTATATTAGCATACTAGAATATGTGGAGACGGATAATGCTCACCACTAATCGATATGTGGCAGTTGATTTTATATTAGGTTTACATGATTGCAAAATTGTAATTATATTTTTTATTTTTTTTATATAAAAATAATTACAAATTACAAAAAAAAACATTAAAAGATACACTTGATTTATATTCCATCATAAGTAATTGTATTATAATCAATGATTACCTCTTTTGTTACTTACATGAATTAAATGTAAATTAAATTATTTATTAAATTTTTAAATCTGTAATTAGAACGATAATTATTCCTATTGCTGTATTTAATTGATCTGAACAAAAAACTCAACATTTTATTTAGGTATTACACCACCTTATTGTCAAAATTTGTAAATGAACACTAGTTTACACAAATTTTAAACTCAGGTTAAAGATTTTTCTCAGTAGCAATGCTGACAAATATTTACTTAGCTGACTAACAACAGAATAATTGAAATTCAAAAAGATACCATGTACTTGTTAAACCCCTTGACTATCATGTTCACATTTATATATTCATCTTTACAATGTTGGAATGTTTTTAGGGTTTCCCCCACATTTAAACATCAATATTCAAATTAAATTGATTGCTTCATGTCATTTATTGACAATTTGCCATTGGATGTTAAGCAAACAACAGTCGGGCATTTATTTACATCAGACAAATTTAAGCTCTTTTCCAATGCCTAATGCAAGAATTTAAGCCATACTAGCTATCTCTGATAACCCATGAAAAATAGATATTTTTTGAAAGGGCTTTTAAAAGAGTTGTTATCTGTTCAATTTTACCCCCACCCCCAACCTTTGCTATCCTTCCAAGTTTTTCTTACTAGTATATGACTTAATAGACTAGTTTATCAAGAGACTAGGTTATATTCAAATTTTGTTCCTATTTTGCTCAAAAAGGAAAATGAGATTTTGTATAAATGTGGAGTGGTAGTTAAGGGGTCTATAAGATTTAATCTGTTTTACAACGAATGTACAGCTTATAGTTTCAAAAAAGTTTATATTTTGAGCATTAGTTGTTTCAGAATTCCTGTGTATAAGAAAAATATGGTAGTTTATACTTAAAAGGGTAATAAAAATGATGGATTGAAAGGTTTAACAAGTTCACATGTTCACAATTAACAATGTACTTCACAATATGACAATGTACATTTTCAAGTTATATTTACATTTTGTTTTATTTTATTTTACTCCAAAAGTTACAAAATATATTTTCTTGTATAGTGTACATTTAATTTAAAACTATTTAAATATTGTATAAATAAATTATTATAAAAGTTTCTTTGATTGTCTTCTGTTTTGCAAATTTTAAGCAAAAATGACACCAAGAGATAAGACATGGACATTTTTTCCTGAGTAAATTATTCTGATTCTCATCTTAGACCCATTAGTCGTTGTTAAACCATGTCTGGTACATGTATGTGGATGAATTTTGTGAATGTCATACTGTTTTGTCTTCCTTCCCTTGCAGATAAAAGATAATGGTTGGAGGGTGAGGTGGTTGTAATATAGGAAGCCCCTCTGTCCATACTTACTTTATTATATCCCTTGCTACCAAATTGCAGGGGTGGGAGTATATATTTTTGTCTCGCCTTGACAGGGTCAAAAAGCGAGACATAGGTATGCTGTTTCTGGAGGCGGCGGCGTCAACAATGTATTAGTTTGTGATTAGGTCTACTTTAAGGTGAACCACTATATGCAGTTGTATTAGCACTGGCACATCTCATTACCATGGAGATTATTTGGCCCTGCCCCCTCAGTCATGGTCTACTGACTTTGAAACTTTTGCTTAGTTTACATGTATTAGTTTGTGATTAGGTCAGTTTATGTTGAACCATTAGTGGTAGGCCAATGTTAATTGGTATGCAATTGTATAAGCAGGAGCACATCTCATTTCCATGGAGAATATTTGGTCCCGCCCCCTCAGTCCTGGTCTATTGACTTTGAAACTTTTGCTTAGTTTACATGTATTAGTTTGTGATTAGATCAGTTTAAGATGAACCGCTAATTTTAAGTCCATGATATTTGGTATGCAAATTTATTGGCATTTGCAAGTCTCGTTTCCATGGAGAGTAAATAGCCCCACCCCCTCATCATGGTTCATTGACTTTGAAACTTTTACATAGTTTACAAGTCAATGTTTGTGTTTAGGTTTGTTGAAAGGGAACGACTTATGATAAACTATGGTATTTGGTATGCAGTTGTATTAGCATTGGCACATCTCATTTCCATGGAGATTGTTTTGCCATGTATCTTCAGTCATGGTTCATTGACTTTGGATATTTGCATAACTTGCATGTTAAAGTATTGCTATTTTAATTTCAACATTTGCATTATCAAAGGTACAGAAAGGTGAGACATATCTCTGTGTTAACAGTTTATTTATTGCTAGCTCAAATACTTCATATCTGATTACAATCTTACTTGGATATATGGTCACAAGGTGTATATGGCAAGGGATAGTTGAGCTTGCTCACTTAAGGTTCTTGAATTGTCCTTTGTTTATTTTGATGGTATTTTGAATCATGATGATTATGCAAACTTTACCATAGGCAGGATATTCTATCCTGAACTATGGCTTTTAAAACTTGCCACTGTGAGGGTTTTTAAGGAATCAATTGTGTCATCACAACTATACAGTTCATTATTTCTACAAGTATCTTGGTACATCGGCAGTCCTTATTTGTAGTATACATTTTACTACTAATGTGGTGCTCTTCTGTAAAGATATTGAACAGATATATCATGTTATGGAAAGGTTTTTGGAAAAAAAAAATATTGACAATTCAAGGTAAAATTTCATGAGTATGTGAAGGAAATTTGCTAATATTAAAGACTGATATTTTTCACAAATACGTATCGTGAACATGTTATATCTTTTTATGGTAGATCACGGGTCTAAATTAAAATTGATGATTTTTTGAATAATTTGCCAATATGTAAGTTATAACATGCTTTAAAACAAAATCTGTACTACTAAAATAACTAGGTCCAATTTGTTAGCCGGCATGACGCAAAAACGATGAATCAAAGAATTCAACTTTATAAATAATATAGGACAATGGTGTCGATTAAAAATTACACCATTCCAGGCCCTTTTGTTTTCCACATAATTAATGTTACCAATAATTAACAAGTTCCGGGTCGAATCCAATACAGATACCAATAGTATATATCACATGTAGTTTCCAGTTGTAAGAATGTATGTATGTTCTGTATCTTCCTCCTTTATTAGGAGCACCACCATGGGTTATGGTGTAATGGAGGACATTTAACACTGTATCGGTACAGATTTAATGTGACCATTTGCCTACACAGTTTCCCAGCCTAGCCGTGACATGTCTGTCTAGTAGAAAGTTAACCTTCCCCAAAACAATAAGTACGATGCAATAAAATATACGAACACACATACCTGATTCGCTCATCCTCAAAATATAAAATCAATTGAATAAGGGATAAGGTCACCCCAGATGCCACACTAATGTCATGGCAACGAAAGGGAAACTGGTAAGGACATACTGTAGTAATAAAACCAGGACTGGTTCAAACTGAAAGATTTTGAGAGCAGAAAAAACTGTGCACCTTATAGTCAGCATGACTTTATCAGATGAAAATACGAATACTAAAAATTTAGGCTAAAAATCAGGCGTAGGTACTTTATTTCAGTCACGTATCAGCGATGTCGCGGGTGTGTTCTAGTATAATAAAAAGTATGGGTCACACCTTTTTTTCAAGCTACAGGTTGTGCCAAATTGTCAGATTTTGAATACATTATACATGGAAATACCAATCTAGTGTGATAGAAAGAAAACTAAATGAGAGAATTTTAAGATAAAATATGAGAAGATAATTCTTATAATGTGCTTTCAGGAAAATAAACATAGGGTTACAAGACTCATTTTCTTTCTACAAAACAAAATAAGTGCTTTTTAAAAGTCGTAATAATACAGTGTTCTCCCCAGGGTCTTTTAGCATCATGGTAATGTGATGCTATATTTTTTGAATGTGATGCTATCTCAATTGGTTTTTTTATAGATTATGTTAGGAATGTGATGCTATAATTTTTAGAAACAAGATGGTATTTACAAATTTCCATGTTTACCAGGATGCTAAATGAAATATCTGGGGAGAACACTGTAATATTAAGATAAAACACATTATTTCATCATTTAGAAGAAAGGTATTACCTTTGCATATTTTACAGGGGCGGATCCAGCCATTTTAAAAAGGGGGGGTTCCCAACCCAGGATAAAGGGGGGTTCCAACTATATGTCCCCATTCAAATGCATTGATCGTCCAAAAAAAAGGGGGGGTTCCAACCCCCCTCTGCATCCGCCACTGTTTTATTAAAGATCTAACTAGACATATTGTGTAGTGCTCTTTTACATTCTAATATGGTGGAAGACACTATTCTACCTTAAGTACACCGAATATTAATACAAAAGGTGAAGATAAACATTTGAATTTAATTCCATTATTTTTTTTGCTTCAAGACAATAAAAACTACCTCATCAAACAAAGCTAACATATGACCAAAAGTGTCTTGTGAAGGGTGAAAAAGTTGTAGGCGTTTTGGCAAATACCATAGCAGAAGGGTAAAAAATGCCTATAACAATATTCATTTTATACAGGGAAATATATGTAAAATACACTAGCTATCAATAACAAAAATACAGGGTTGGACGAAATCCAAAACTGGCTTATAGTATGGCAGTGTTACAGCTTGAATCTGAGGGCAGAAGGGTGCTAGTTGACCCACAGGGCACTTTAGCGCAATTATTCAGATTTTTAGGGCACTTGTGCAAAGTTAAATGAATGCCAAAAATACCAAGTCTGATAAATCCCTTCCTATAGAAATTTACCTATAAACTAAGCAATATAAAGCATTTCAACAAATTTAACATTAGTGGGCTGTTAGCACATCCCCTGAAAACAAATTTCAATATTTCTTAGATAAACTTTGAGGCCATATTTTTAGCATACCGGTATTTCTTGATGTTATTTCCATGTTTTATCACATTATTATAAAATGAAACAAGACACATAATAATAAGCAACCAACAATCAATCAATCATAATAATGATGGTGAAAAAAACAACAAAAAAACATCAGAATTTTCAATATTAAGTACTGATATACCAGTCAAACTAAAAAAATGAACAGACAACTTAAATTGCTTAAGAAATAATATTATTTACAGTTAAATTATTTGTGAATACATGCAAATATTGTATATTGTATATTGACATTTATTTATTTTGTCCTTAAATTTTACAATTAAGTAGGTCTTGTGTACACATCAAAGTGCTCCTTAAAAAAGGAGTATTATAAATATAAGAGATGAGGCAGGAAGTGCTGCAATCATATTGATGTTCAAAATACGATTTTTTTTCAGACAACAGGAAAATAAACTAAGTATTTACTGCTTTTCCAATTAAGTCTTTTGATATGCCTTTAATATAGTATAAGACATTTGATTTATCTAATACTCACTAAACAAACTTAAATAAAGTTTTTCAAGTGTACATGCTGTACATAAACAATTTATAAAATGGAGCACATGTCATTTCATTTTGCATTAAATATCTATTATTTGTTCAATTATCTTAAATCACCTAATTAGCAGAGGCCAATCATCAACAGAGGTGATAAAACTGCCAAAGGCTTATTGTATCTGATTATATGTCATTGTCAATTAATTAGTTGTTTAGACAAGCATGTAACAAGTTTACTGGAAATGCTGGTAGACATGTAATTTGATTAAGTTTATAATTTGTTGAAACGGCAAAAGGGTGTTATTTTTTGCTTTGAAGGGCAGAAGGGCAGGGGTAAGGGCACCAAGGGCGGGCAGCCCTTCCATTTAGGGCAGGCGGGAACACTAGTATGGTGATGATGGGCTTGCGAAGGGGAAAAGTGGGTACCTAAATGATGTAATCAACTCCAACAGTTTTCAACCAAGAACCCTGAAACTTCACAGTAAGACTGCATATATGTTGAAGTTGTGCATCTGCCATAGGAATTTGTTCTCATTTTTCCAGACTAGGGGAACTTATATAAAAATAAGAAGATGAGGTGTGATTGCCAATGAGACAACTCTCCACCAGAGACCAAATGACGTAGATTTTAAGAACTAAAGGTCACGGTACGGCCTTCAACAATGAGAAAATTTTATGAAAGAGGGGACAAGTTTTGTGCAATCAACTCCGACAGTTTTCAACCAAGATCCTTGAAACTTTCCAGCGAGATTGCACATATGTTGAAAAAGTGCATCTGCTATTAT